CAGCCGGTCGGCCGGTCGCGATTTAATGTCGCCGGGCACGCGAGCCGGTCCGGTTCACGACGGCCGGACGGACGGACACCGCGCGGCCAGAACTGCCCGCGGACACCACACCCAGGCGATTACGCCGCCCCCAGAGGGCCGCTTTGAGGATAGAGTCCCCTCACAGGCGGCCGCCTGGAGGGTATAGTCGTTCAGCAGGAAGTTGCCCGGGCATAAAGCCACACCAACAGACAGCAGGCGAGACGATTGAGATGCACCAAAGCCGACCGGCCGACAGCACTGCATTCTTCTTGGACCCTGTTGCTCACGGGTTAATAACTGATTATTAGATGATCGCGAAGCAGGCTGCTCGAGTACCAGCTGTATACGGAATCTGTCTCTTCATTTGTCTATGTTGTCTATCTGTTTATTCCGCTTATTTTGTCTAAATGTGGCACTACCGTATACAACGGATAAAGACACTTGAAGTAAAGAAAGTAGCATTGCAAAGCTACTTTCATAGCATTTCATAGCAAAGCAAAGAGCCTTGAACATCCTTGCCCAAAAACAACTCTGGTCCGGTGAAAAAGAGGCTTTGTACAAACGTTTACTTTCCATAGTTTGTTGTTACCAGTGACTGGATCTCTGCGGCAGATTAGACTCCAGATGATTCCTAAATTTCCCATTTTGGGCTGGCACCTGAACTGGAGACCTTCAGGGCAGTTAGTGGTGTCTTCAGAGTGACGTTAGCTATTGGCTCTCCGAGTCGCGCCCTTCCAAAAATGCAGGATAGAATGGGTCATGTGCCGCATGCCAAAATACGTTTAACCCCTACAATTCTAACGACATGCTCACAGGTCGTGACACACACACACCTCGAAAGCGTGGGTGGATCTATGAACGAAAAGGTGATGTGCCTGTCCGTTTCCCGCGAAGTGCGATGTCGCTCGGTAAGTGCGATGTCTATTTTGTCGATGTCTATTTTTGTCCTTTGTCGATTGTCGAAGTGCGATGTCTATTTTCCCAATGCTCGGTCGGATCCCAGTTTTACATTCTTCGCTGTGCTGACAAATGGGAAGATTTCAATAAAATAGCAAAAGTTTATCCAACAACATTTCTCCATTTGCTATTAACACGTTGGGAAATAGTTAAGGGGGTACGCTTGCGCGCATGGAAGAAGTGTTTCATCTGTCTTGGGTGCGTTATCAGCTTAGTATTAATGAAAACACTGGTAGCTGTGAGTGGTAGGAACTCTGTTCTTACTTCCTTTTTTCATCCTTTATATATATATATATATATATATATATATATATATATATATATATAGCGCTTCCTTTCGTAGGTCAAATACCCAATATGTGGGTTCGGAAAAGCTGCGGACCACTGGCATGGTATTTTCTACACATATTTCTTTTTTTAAGCACGCCCAGTTTTGAGCAAGCTTGTGGAACATACTCTGAGATGTCGGCCTGATTTGACGTCATCCCTCGCCGACAAATATGATTCCAGCACGAGCTATTGGCGCGCAAGCATGTGGGTAAAGACGCACATCGGATCAAAAACTGTTTGTGATTGCCTGCAAATGCTTCCGTAAACTGAATAGGCACAAGCATGTTACGTCGATCAAATTTTATGCTAACTTCGTTTGAAGCAAATGATGGGCATAGCTGAGTGACTCGCCCAAATTCGTCATGAAACATCCGTCGTTCTCTCCTCATTCATGCTTCGTCCTGTATCGACGCAGCGTTCCGTATATCCACGGCAGGTAGCATGAATCAGTCACATGTGAGCCTAAGAGTCTCCCCCTCTGGTGGGAGTTCCGCCCAAGCGCCCGCAAATACGGGCCTCTGTTCGGGCGCGCAGCCTCGGTAGTCTCGGCAGTGCGGGCCATCTTGGCATGTGCAATCTTGTCCCACCGCTATCCACTCTCCTTCATCTGATAGCCGTGAAATATGGGCGCCATATGACCAACGAAGTCAGTGCGTCCGAAAGCCCAAATCATCATCATGATAGCCGTGAAATGGTCACTGCTGGCGGACAGGGCTGTAACCGAAACCAAGCCGTTACGGAAGCGTAACACTGGATTTGCATGTTGTAAGACTCGTGCATATTTTCGTCCTGCTCAGGAGAGCTTCTGTGGCATCGCAGGCAGAGGTACCGGCGCAGAAATTGAAACATGGCACAATAGTTTTCCGCGCCAGAGACCGGCTTTGCCTCAAATCCCTCGTCCTGTTCGTGTAAGCTTGCGTGGGCCCTTCCGCATTAGTACCGCACGCTGGTCTGTATTTTGCGATAACACCGGCCGAGTTATGACAAATAGCCGAGAGGTGACGGCTGATGATGCCATATAAATGTGCAAATGGGCCATGTATGTCCCCGATCGGAGGGCTGTCTGCAGCACTGTTGAACACCGGAGAACTCATCGGAATCGTGCAGGCTGCTATGAATTTTGGCATGGACACTTATTGCTTACCCTTCGGTATAACATCGGGTGGGAAGAAAATTGGTATTTACGTGTAAATTATAGTTTAATGTTATCATCGGCTTGATTCAGAGCAGGACCGCGCCTGGTTTGGGTCTGGTCCGGTTTCATGTGTGCAAGGCCGCAGTGATGTCTCTTTGTATTCGTGTCCACCCGGCATTTGATGTTGTAAACATAATGCGGCCATGGCATTTCCACTAGTTTCCTGGACCCCTGCAGCCTTCCCCGTGCCTGGCTGTAACTTGCACAGCTAACCGAAGCCAGTCATTGGTCCCGGTTCATTATGACACGGCATTGATTTCGGTAGCCACGGAGCCTCTTTTACCGTTAAAAACGCTGCATGTCCAATGCTCATGTGCCAACTTCATGCACTTAATGTCAAAAATTCCCAAAACACGGAGACACATAACAGCTCACATTAGCATGCGCCACGCACAGCTCAAAACCAGTCAAATTGAAACAAAGTAACAAATGACATTGAACGCTCGCGGCGCATGCCTCGTATTCATTTAGTCTAAATGACCGCGTCATTTGTTGCTGTCCACTCCCCGCCTCTGCTAATAGCGCCTGCCACTCGGGCGCCATCTGACACATTGCAGTTCGGGATTGCGGCGCTCAGTTCTGGCCACTCATCGCTTCGGGCCCTGTTGCAATGGTTCGCCAGCTATCTGCCGCCTGATATCCGGCTGCGCCTCGCTGCCGAGGGGGAGGGGAGGGGGGACGCCCGCCGGCGACGCCGCCTAACGAGCCGGCGCCCGCGCGGCCCGGAACAAATGCACCTCACCTGCGGCCGCACGGCACCGCACGTGTGTGGGCCAGCGGCCGGCAGTGAGTGACGCCTTCCCGGGCTAATGGCCCGGGACAGAGGCCATTTCAAAGGAGACACGCAACCGTTAGCGCTCTGATTTGATTGTTCAGACTAAGAGGCCGTCATTCGCGTTGTCATGCCATCCGATTGTGCTTGGTCAAGGTTTCGCGAGTTTTCTGGGGATGAGGGCCACGTCCCGCTAGCCGCCGCCTGTGAGCATGTTACGGCTTGTCGCGGGCGTATCGCACGCCAGGCCGAGGCATGAGAACTGTGCGGTCTGGATTGTCCGCTGACACGGACTGTACGGCTGTGCAGTATAATAAAGGCGTACTGCCCACGTCTTCCCGCCAGTGAAATTATCATGCACGTACAGTAGACAAATAACCCATTAAATCCAGACACTAGACTGTTTTTTATAGTTATGAATAAACTGGACTGTGTTTTGGATGCAACCTGTGCGATGTGAACCATTTTGGCGAGCCCTGTGAAGGAGATCGCGGGTGAATCTCGTACGATATTAAGGTAAACGCGAAAAGCGTTGTTGTCAATTTCATAGCATATACTTGAAGCAAGCACATGCGATATTTCATATCGAAGATTTCAACTGTTATAACCGCCAGTAACCGAGCAGATGGAGATTGTAAATGTGGCAGGCTTGTTTTTCAATATTCAAGATAACAGTACTGGTGAGTTAGCGGTACGAGCTCACGGTCACGCTTAAGGAGAGCGACCAGAAAATATCAGACAGCGTCATCTTCGGAACGTCTCTTCACATACAAGTGAACTCCCAGGTCATTGTCAAGGCCTCATCACAGTGCACGTAATATCTTACGCGTTGGCGGGAACAAGAAGGTACATTAGCAGGCAGCACACAGTATGTTAACGCTATGTTGCGTGCTTATTGAGTACCTGTGTGGCGGCTAAATTTTTAGACAGTTGGGCCGTGGTGGCCGGTCATGAATGCTCACCGAGATTCCTCCATTCCTCATTGGTTGCATTCATGAATAGCACACTTAAAGGTGCAGAGCAGTGTTTATGTTTGCGTCCGTTGAGGCGGAGCCGCCTACCCAGCCCAGTCGCGTGAAACCACGACACCAGGAAGGACTGACCAGGCGCTTAATGGCTATTCGCGTCGTCATTTCCCATCGCCGTCATTTCTCAGGGCTCTTAATGCTTTGCCAAGCCGGCTGTTGTCATGACATGGAGTGGGGTGACTTAGCCAAGCCTGGTCTGCAGTGTGCGTGGACCCTCGACTATTTACAGCGTCGTAAGCTGTTCGGCGGGCTGGTCTTTGATCTGTCTGCCTTTTCCGACGTATTTTATTAAGATGTGTACGGAACTGCCATGTCCCTCAACAAAGAGGCCTCTCGTCATGGCTATCGGCGTGGCATGCATTGTCCAGCACGCAAGTTGAGAACCGTGCTCAGACGGTATCGTGGATATGCCTGGTAATGATTTCAGGCCGAAACGTGGAACTGCTTTCGATGTACATAAAGTCTTTACGGTATCCTCTCATGTTACCAGCCCCTTGTAGTGTGTTCCGGGCTGTTTAAATATATCTGCATGAAGTAGTGCTAAAATGATACAGGTTATTAATAATGTTAAGCGCATCGATTCATACGTGTTCCAGTACTAGCTCACTGGCATAGTGCAGCAAGCAATTGCTGTCACCAAGCTCTAACCGTAAAAGCGTATGTGCAAAAAAAGAACAGCTGTCTTCGCCGCCCGCAGGAGCCACTTCGCTTTCTACAAGTCGTGCGACGACCGTTGGAAGAACAGCGTGCGACACAACCTCTCAATGAACCCGTACTTCCGCAAGGGCGAGAAGGCCAAGAACGGCACGGGTCACCTCTGGATGCTGGCCAACGTGGAGGGGCGTCGCGTACGGCGCAACAACGTGGCCGCGCGCATGGGCCGGCCCGCCCGCAAGGTGGGCTGACAGCTGGCGTCCCCCAGAACTTGGGGTCGACTGGCCGACTCAACTTGGATGAGATGGGAGCCCTCCGTGCACTAGAACCGACCGTGTGATGAGTGAACTGGCGTTCAGCCAAGACGGACCGATGGTCAGGTGACCACAGTTAGCAGAGAGGGCGGGCGGAGGGGACTGGCCTGTTAATGCTCGCTGGTTAAGGAACGGGCCACGCACTGTGGATGTGTGGATTGCCGTGACTCCTTGCGCTGGCCTGGCGTTATGCATTGGTGTCACGCTCTGCGCGCGCGTTACATCCCGTCAGCCCGTGCAATCGTGACGCCCCGGACCACCATCACGCCACGACGGTGTGTGCTGTCATGAGGCTGCACACACCGTGGGTGTGTGCGGCCTCATGGGTGCCGCCGTCACGCCGTGGCCTACCGTGGCGCTCCGTGCTGTCGCTACGCCCTGGACTATCGTGATACCCTGCCACCGTGACCCTGTCCGTAACGCCGCGTGTCGCCGCGCCGGCAGCAGTCGGCCGGGGACGTGGAGCTGGACCTTTGCGACGATATCCCGTCGCCGGCCAACGACATCTGGCTAAGCTCGGCCGCCGACAACAAGGAGAACATGCCCATCAGCGGCGAGTACAGCATCGAGTACCTCAACTATGTGCCGGACCAGGTGAGGGCCGCGCGTGCGCCGCCGGTCGCTGCGGCGACCGCGTGGTGCGCGGCGACAGCCATCACTGGCTTTGTCAGCTTCATTGCGATCGTTGTCAGGCGATCGCCGGTTAGAACACCCTTCTTCGGTGTTGAACTTTGAAACGGGCTCCTTTTGCCGCACGTTTGTTTGGTGGAAGGTTGCGAAGGAATTAACAGAGTTGTGAGTCAAGGCTCGTTTTGTTCCGTTTCTCTTTGCGTGTTCTCGTTTTCGTCGCTGTCCCAGACTGCGCCGTGAACTAGGTCCGCTGCCGCCAAGTTTGCGCGACACGCATTCCTCGTCACTTGAAATCGCTTGGATCAGATATTTCGGTGGTCGTTTTTGATCCCCGTTTGTACCAGAAAGCATGATGTGGTCCCCTTAAGCCTGCATCCTTGAACACGGCGCGGCGAGTGCGGACGTCAGCGTCGAGACAGTTGTATCTGAGTACCATGCGTCATCTGCGCGAGTGCCGGCCGGGCTGGAAGGCTTTTACATCGGCAGATGGGGACGCCGCCGCAGTGTCGCTTTCCGCGCCGCCCGCTGCGTGACGCGGAGCTGATGGCGCCATCTCTGTTCAGATATTGACAGCACAACTGCTTCAGGCGGCGCCACCGACAGCCTTCACGTTGGAGGAGTCGGCCGACCGCATACTCTCCGGATCCAATAATCACGTGGAGGTGCAGTTTATAACGCCGGTTCGAAATGAACGAATTGCTCAAGGTAAGTGGAGAGCCAGATATGAATGAGCGTGCTACCAGGCGATTTATCTAGAATGCGGGCGTAACATGACTGGTGGACCGTGGCCACTGAGAAAAGTGAGGGAATGCACAGGCAGTCGCTGAAGTGTTGTTTTTTCGTCCCACTGTCGCTGACACTCTGTCCTTCTGCAGACGTCATGCTGGTGGATTACCAGCAGCTGGATGTGGCGATGCAATCGTGAGAAGTGCGCAAATCACCCACCAGCCTGATCAGCACCAGACCCGCCCGATAAGTCACGCTCGTCCAATCCGTCCAATCGCGTGCCAGACAACAGCTCCGTCCAGCCCGAGACGGGCTGCCTCTCCGTCCATTTCAAGACAGACTGACTCTGTCCTGTCCGCTGTGGGGACCACGCCTGTTCGGTCCAGTGCGTGCGACAGCGCTCATGCACGCCGCCCGAGTGTGGCGACCAGCGCAGCGCGCCGAGCGCCAGTGTGGTGATCGGCGCTGCATAGCGAGGCCCTGCCGTGGCGCTGCGCGGGGCCCGTCCGGCGCGGCAACGCCGAGCGGGCCGCGCGCTTTCGGCAGGCTTCGCAACGGGCGTGCTCGAGCGCGCGCTGGGCGGCCGACGGCCAGTGCGGTCGGCCGGGTGACACGCCGCCCTCCAGCCGTGACGAGTGGGAGGTGGCATATACCGATTGCTCAGACGCGGAGATTGATGGCGCGAGAGTCGGTTAACCCCGTTCCGTGTTTTTGTTTGCTGGAGGCGATCTGCATGCGCGGGAGGGTAAGCGGCGATGGCGGGGCGGCGCTTTACGCCATCGGCTATGCTCACCGTCCGTTCGGTTCGATTTTTCCTCAGTCTCAGCGAATTGTGCCCCCACTAGCATGTTTTTTGAAGATACGGACCATGTCAACAGGTGTCCAGGATAGCCACGATGATGGATTGCTTCACTTACAATAGAATACCACCATTTGTGATTCTCGAGATGATCCGCGGCATCAAAACATGATCTTCACTTGAAAGAGTCCAGTGGTGTCTGTCCTGCCCGTTATGAAATCTATTTTTCCAGAAGATCGTTATGTTCAAGAATCTGGGAAGAGCGTTGAAAGTATAGGATTACTTTATTTCATAATCAGGCTCACCCCATAATGCATTCTTGCGAACTCAGTTGCCGTATTGACACACGCGTGTGTACAGTGTACTGGTTGTTAAGTGCATGAAGCGCCCGTGTTTCCTCTTGCCACCGGGACGCCCATTTAAACGATGACCGAGAGGGATGCGCTGCCTTGCATTGTCACGATGGAGGCATGAAGTCCCCGGCCATAATGAATGCTCCGATTCTTGTGACGACACAGCCTCGATGGCTGGTAGCGAGTCGTTGCCGCAGCTCGCCCGCCGCTTCGGGGACCGCTGCGCTCGGATGTTAATCAGGCCCACAGCTGCGGCGTGCGTGGCAAGTGCGTGCGTGTGTACATTGTGTATATTTCGTCGACCGCCGGTCCTTGCCTGCGCTGGCACGGACGACAGCAGCATGCGTGTGCGTGCAACTGTGTCAACGGCGCGCGCACGTGGCCGTTGGATGGGCCTCGGCGTCCAGCTATGTGCATCGACAGTGTCAACGCCTTTATTCACCAAGTACCGTTCATTAGTGTTGCATGCTCTGTCCGTAGTTTTCTTTGAATCGAAAATATTACCATCGACATCGTGTCTGCTTGATGTAGTTGAGCGAGGCTTACAGACGACCGCAGATCGTGATGTATTCATGAAGGCTGGATATATGCCGAGGTAAAATATTCCCTTCAGAAATCCCAGTGTGTCAGCCCTTGGAACACGTGCACCAAGAAAAAGTACATGGAAAGCACTCGGAAGGTTAAGTCATTCTTGATAACACCGGTCGAAACCCACGCCATCAGAAGATGGGGCGCGTTGTATATAATGCGCAGCGCAACGGCAGTATCCCCTCCCAGACTGGTGGAACAACTGGGCATTCTCGGACCAACTAATCCTTCGAATGTGTCGGGACCAGACCAGCCCCAAAAAGATGAGCTTCCAAGTGGCAGACAACGACGCGCTTTCGGGTCTCACAAGAGCCACAGACGTTTGTACGCTACCTGAACTGCGGTGCTGTCATGGCCGCCACTGGACGCATCCCCTACCCGTTATTTGATGCTGCTTCGCTGATGCAGACAGACGAAACGTCGAACACCTGCCCATTCAAGCAGCCATCTCTTAGCAGCACAGCTGATGTTTGGCCCCCTCAGCAAGCAACACCATGTAAAGTAAGCTCTTAAAATAGTGTTAACAGTATCAGTAAGCACCTCCGCGATGGGGCAGGTATCTAATACAGGAGCAATGTCGGGTCGACTTCGTCCTTCCAGGCATACAGTCCGCCGGCAATGTCTCGAACCTCAAACTCCGGACTGTCCGCCAGATGGGTCTGCAGCAGCTTTGCAGCGCGCTGCGAGTCGTTGCCGCGCCGGCACAGCGTGACGACTGCGAATCATGAAACTATCAGTTGTAAAACGAGGCTGATGGGCGTTAGTGTGAGCGCATTATCAATCACTAATCACGCGTATTGGCATGCACTCGTTTGATAGCGGCACCTTCAGCTTCCACCATAAAATCATATCGTTGACCGGTCGAATTCAACGATCGGATGGCGGGCCCAGTGCTACCACAACTAGCACTGCCTAGAGTGGAGGCTCAAGGGCGGAATCAAGTGAGATGGCAACCGGGCCATACAACCCCCTCCCCCTCACCTCAAGTTGAGCAAAAAATGAAATATTTTAGGCCTTTAAAAAGCATAAGACGCTCGCGCGATGTAAGGTTGCTTGATAACACTCCTTGCGGTAAAAGGATGAAAAATCTAACAAGTGCATGAAAGTCATACATCTTTCTGGATCCACCACAGCCAGGGTTGTTCCCTCTCAAAGTCTTCTGGATCACCATTGTGGCAGCTAATCACAGAAACCTATCTGATCAAAAGTTTGTTTTTCTAAATTAACGATTCTTACATGTCCCGTTGCGCTGAAACCCATCAGCAGACATGATGCTGACGAGATGGATTCAATGGAACACCAACCCGTCTAATCCCATTGCGCACGACACTACCGCCAGCTAGTGTCCCCGACGGGCGCGTGACGCGGGTGACCCCTGGCCCCGGCGCTGACCTGTGACCCGGTCGGCGGTGCCGCGCCGCTCCAGGGCCGCGCGGCGCACCGTCTCACGGCCCTCCTCCGAGCGCAGCGTCGCCAGCGGTACGTTGACGGCCTCGGCCAGTCGGCAGATCTCCAGCTCGGGGGCTGCGCGCACGTCCACCAACAGAGCGGGCGTCGACAGCTGCTGGTACTGGCGCGGCGTCAGCCGCTGCTCGGGCGTCAGCAGCCGCACGCCAGAATCCTGCCGCAGGGGCGGGGGGCACGTGAGTGGATGGGGAGGGGACAGGGCCTTGAGCGTCGACGATAGTGGGGACAGGTGGCCATCTGGATCCCGTAGTACAATAAAGGCGAGTTGATAAACACGCGGGATGAAACCACGTGCCAGACAGCTTCTGGACAACTAAATGTTTTTACGCAGCCAGTCACTTCATAGAACATTCGTGCCGCCAACCTACACTTGCCATGAATACCCCAGCTTATACTGGACGCATTTCCCTGCGCGCAAGTACGGATTTTCGGTTTTCCGGGACTACGTAGTCTTCAGTCCACTGAAAATTATTGCGACTGCTCAGATGAGACCTGACGGGATCGGACAGCATCTGCGAAACATCCATGCGTAATTTCGTGCAAAACGTCACAGTTCCAAACGGTGAAACAATTGCCGAAATTCGTATTCCTCTGGCGCTTTCACGGGACCTGTTATGCAGTTATCGTTATGCAGTTTCAAAGTGATCACCCAGACTGAGACATCACACGATACACCCAAAAAGCTTCACTTTACCTGTTTAGCCGGCTGTGAGTCGGCCATCGTCTCGTTCAGCCCACTGCCCTGCCGCAAGGCACGGCACACTCTGGCCTCTCCCTCTCTCGCTCCCTCCCTCTACCCCGGCGCACCTTGTCGGTGGGCGCTGCGCCGCAGAACTGCGCGTAGTCCACGAGGCGCGTGACGGTCGGCGCGTCACCGCACACGGCGCAGTCCGACTGCCGACCGCGCAGGCGCACTGAGCTGGAACTGGCCGGCCAGGCCGTCGAACAGCAGCAGACTGCGCGCGTGCGCCGACCTCAGGCCCGGCACCAGCAGCCGGAGCGCCTCGAGCGCCTGCAGCGAGCCGATGACGCCCGGCACCACGCCCAGCACGCCGCCGTCCGAGCAGTTGGTCACCGTCTCTGGCGGCGGCGGCGTCGGGAACAGGCACCGGTAGCACGGGCCTCCGGCGTGGCTGGAAAGGGGCGGGCCGTGACGACCGATGGACGCGGCACTGACACGTCTCACGTGGCTGGATAAGCGCCTGCCACGGGACTACGCGGCTTTTATAAACTGTTCTCTGGTGAAAGTAAATAAACAGCGCCCAGTGTCGGCCGCCGGGCTGGCCAGCGCAGCCGGCGTGCCTGCTCTGGCAATCGCCGCCAGCCGTGAACAGCCAGTGCCGCCACCCACTTGTAGGTGGTGAGCTGGCCCTCGAAGCGCAGAGCGCTGCCGGAGACGAGCGGCCGGCCGGCCAGCACGCACGCGTCGTTCAGCAGGTAGCGTGTGGCCACGTTATCCGTGCAGTCCAGCACCACCTGGTACCGACGCACCAGGTCTGCAGCATTGGTGCTGTCCAGCACTAGCTGATGTGGCACCACTGTGACGTGGTGGTTCAAGCTGGGGACAGATGTAGTAATGGTCAAAGGAAGTTCCTGCTCGATGATAGCTTCACCGAACCTTCTGATTTCATGCATTTCTAGGATAACCGCCCGCGCGTGACGGTCCGCGGTGCTTGCTACGCAAGCCCACTAACCCCGCCAACCAATCGTGACATTCCAGGTCAATGGCAGACATTTGCCGACAGAGCTTAAACTGACGCAACGCGCGGCAGGGGCCGTCCTGCCCGTTGACATCGACTGACCACTGCCAATGGCCGCAGACAATCCAAGTCGGAGGCAAATAGCGAGCGCCCAAAGCGACCAAACGAGTTGATGAATCGAAAGGCAGGTACTCTGATTAGCTGAGCTATCCAGACATACAATATAGCCTGAATGCTGGGCACAATGCACACATCACGTTATCAATTTGAACAAATGTGCACAAGTCTGACACAGTGCAAAGACAGAGCTTTTAAAAGGGTTAGAATAACATTGGAGTTTTGAGTTAATTAGCCCCACAGGACAAACACTGCCTCAATGTTCAGTTCATTAACATGACAGAGCTTGAGCTCCTCCAAATTTAGTGAAACTTTCTCCCAAATTCAATGCGGTGTCTCTCTACTGCCTTGTTGTGCAGATCGACTATTTCCAACCATCCTCATATGGGCTTTGGGGCTTTTGATTGTAACCAACACTGGTCTCATCAGTCCCCCTATCCAAAGGTCCCCAACTGGTCTCACTTGTCATCCCACCTGACATTTCCAGGCAGGATCACCAAGTCTCAGGGCAGACTCACCTGTTGACTGCCTGACCAATTGAGCTGGCCTTGGATGTGTTGAGCCGCTGCTCTGTGTGCAGTATCTGCCGGTGCAGGTTGCTGACCTCCACCACATCATGGTCCACTACACCCAGAGTACCTATGGAAGCCACACCACAGATAAATAACCACAGACAGGCAGGCACAACAGTGGGAAAGCAGAAAGCAGCAAACATAGCAAGAACCCACATGCCTTCAGCTTGATAGAAACATGGATGTTAACATGTGACCTATAAGACACACAATCATTTGTCACAAGCATGCATGGTATAATTATTGGCACATAGTGATACAGCTTGACAGGAGCTGCAAGTTTTTATCAGTGATATTGCAACACTGCAAACTTATTTAAATCAAAATGTATGTATAACCTATCTGTGCTAGGTTACAGAACACATGTGTTGTCTGACATAGCCTGTCTCTGAAAATCAACAATGATGATTATGGTTACAATTATGATATACCATGCTTGTGTTTTGACATGCTTGTTACTTTGTATGCAGATGTTAATACCCTAGCATGCATGTGTGACCTGTCATGTGTTGCATATGAATACATACACAAGTACCTTCAGAAGTAACAATGCCCATCAATCCAAATATTGCATGATAAATGCATGCAACAAAAACACTACAATATTATTTCACAAAGGTGACAGCAAAAGCAACTGCTGTAATGTTTGTTTACCTATCCCTGCAGCAGCCAGGTACACTGCAGCTGGGCAACCCAGACCACCAGCACCAACAATGAGCACAGATGAGCTTTTCAGCTTCTCCTGACCTGCAACATTGAGGTTTCAAGCTGAATATGAGTGCATGCAGATCCCAGCCAAATGAGTAATATGAGAGCGCATACCATCAAATGTTCAAACATAACAATCAGGCATGGTAACATAGAAGAATGATGAAAATTAAATAAATAAGCGACCAAACTATTCAAATATCAGTTTTAACACGAATTTCACTATATAAACAGCTTAATTAGTGCAAATTGCACTTATGGTCGAGCACGGTGCCCAGTCAGCACAGGGAACGCATACATATGGCACTGTCGCTCACCACTCAATCCAATTTCTGGCAAAATCATCTGCCGGCTGTATCGAAGAGCCTCATCTTGTGACAACCTCTCACATGTACCGCTAACATCTGCATCATCTCCGTTCATTCTCCACAAACTCAAGTGCAGCGCGCACCGGATGACAGCACCCGCCAAAACTACAATCGCACGCGACAGCCAAAGCTTACGGGCGAGACGCCAGTCTTGGGAGCTTAGCTTTTGTCAAGAGCACTTCTTTGTCTCTGTTGCGGCGCTTTCACTAGTAAATTGATAGTGGCTGCAGTCACAAAAAGTAATGACAAGCAAAAAAGTATGAAGGGGTATCGTAAGCTCCTGGTGAATATCACGTTGTATGATGCTATTGGACAGTATTGAATTTGGAAATATCAATTTTAAAAAGTGGTTTGAAGGAAACATGACGGAACAAGCAGAAAGCTCGTGATATGTTACAAACTGGAAAGTGACATTCAACTTTTCCCTACTGATCCCACTATACGGTTCCTCACCAAGCGAGCACCTCTCAGCACCGTGTGCATGTTACAGCTTTAGAGGACATTGGGGAGGAAAGTGAAGGAGGAGCGCTGCAGTCTTATAGTAAGGTAAGATGGGTCATGGCGATGACAGGATTTTTTCAAACTTATTTATCCGGCGATATGTTTTGATTAGTATTTGGTTATGGCTTAGACGGAGGGAGAATGCTTGAATGGCAGTCAGCTTCGCAGTCACGAATAGGCCGTTGCTGGATCCTTTGTGTATTCAAGTTCGTTTCTCATTTTATCTCCGAATTAAGCAAGGCGGCTGAGTGCAGATACTTATGTGTGCAATAGAGTTAACGTTTGAGGACCGCTGACGGACGCGTGCACGCGTGCGACCGCGCGTTTCGGGTGCGGCTCAGCCATCACCATCAGCTCTCAGGCAGAGCTCTCAGGCCGGGCGATGATTTTTGCGTTTGCCATGTGCTCGGACAGGAACGATGGAACGGGAGGGCAGGCAGGATAACCACTCCATCACTGGATAAACTGCAATAATCACATTGCACATGGAAAACGATGAGATGAGAAGCGCGTCCCTTCACACCTCCGGTGGATCTGCGGTAACTAGGTGACCCGGATACTAGCGGTAGTCACACGACTCGGACGTGTGAATTGCTCCAGGGCGCGCTCCCCACGCAGCAAGCCAGCTGGTGACCGGTGCCAACCCCCCCCCCCGCCCCAACCCTCCCCATCTCAAAATCCCGTCCCCCTGCGAACGCTTACACGCATTATGCGCATTACAACATGGTAGCACAGCACCAAAAAGTTGCAGGTGCTGAATCGGGCGCCGAGGTTGTCGGCGGCCGCGCGCCGGCCGGCGCAGGGGCATGCCAGGGGGTTTGCGTGTCGGCGCCGGTGCCTCGATGCCGGGCGTCGCGCCCAAGGTCACGGCTCCGGCCGCTCACTCAGGAGCTGCGGCGGCGGTACTATGTCGGGAATCCACGGCGGGATATTCCGTGTGGCATGCGCCGGTCGGGTGGCTACGCGGGTCAGCAGACAAGACGGACAGGCGCTGTGCTTGGCAGTTGCTGGGTCGTCTTCCCACACCTGGTTTCGAAAGGTGGAAGTTTGCGGCGTCTGCGCGCACTCCCGTGTGTGCCGGGATGCTGCCCGGGCGTCGGCCGGCCCGCCCGACGCGGCCGTCAGCTAGCGGACGGCGAGCCAGCTGGCAGCTGCCCATGGTCACTGACGACTCATCTCTCAGCTCTCACTGGACTAAACTTGACCCACCTTGACACGGCCCGCCTCCTCCGCAGTCGGCGTCCCCGAGCTCACGGACACCATGCTGCTGAAGCTGCCGGCGCCGCGCAACGGCGTGGTGGAGCTGTCGCGGCCCGACCTGCTCGCCCTGAGGGACCGGCTGACGAAGGCCGAGTGGCAGGACTTGGCCCACTGCCAACAGCGGCTGCACACAGCGCTGCAGCGCTTCATGGTGAGTGTCCCGACGTCGGCCGCAGTGTCGGCGCTCCAGCGGTCTGGCTGACACCAGGTGGCGGGTCTAGTACGGAGCTGGGAGGACGTGTGTGTGTGTGTTGGGGGGGGACGTACCAGAACAGTACGTGTGGCGTCGTGCAGCTGTGGTCTCTGCAGAGCACTGCCCTTATGCGATTTGTGAAAGCAGTGCTGTGCAAGTCATGTAAATGGGTGGTCCCCCATGTAGACAAGCAGCCCACTGAACAAGAGGTCTAGAGTACAATCTGATAAAACCATGAAGGCATGTTAAGTTGCTGCAAACCTTTTTGTTATAGAATGTTAAGTGTAGGAAGTAATAGATAAATCAGCCTTTCATGAACTGAGTGACTGAAATGTTCTACCCATGAAGGAGACAAATGTCATTATTTTTCAGGTGTTGAGAAAGGAACTGAAGCAATCACTTTTAACACCTGGAGTTTCATCTGAAGGTCCCCAGCAAGCCTGTCGCAAAGTGCTGGAAAAAATGCACAGTATTCAAGAGGAACAGGTATGTCTTGATCAAAGATTGCAAAATGCATTTGTGTGTCCAATACATGGACACAAAAATTTTGCCTGCTAAGATAGCAGGAGACAGAAAGTTGTATTGTCCAGCATTGGCTCTCAACATCAAGGTGATAGTGAAGCAACCACATACTCTGTGTTCCTCCTATTAGGATTTGTTTTCTCATGATGTCAGTGATCACAGTTTGCAGGGATGTATTTTATTGGAGGAAATACAGCTAATTTCCATCAAGTGCAAAGTCTAGCATATCATGTATAATGTGACTTTTGATTCATTTATTCATTCACCAAGTGGTCATCTTCATTAAAATGAATTTGAGATGAACTTTGACTGATAGCAGACCCCACCTTTCCACAAGCAGAAGTCCCCTGTAGCGAGGGAATGGCTGATGTGTAAACCCATGCCACCTTGGCATCTTATGGGTCCTCCCATTTTCTAACCAATGGGCTAAGCAAATGACTAGATCACATTCTCATGCTCCCAACCCGCCTTCTGATGCTGGCTGTCACATGAGCTGAAATCAGTGGCCGTGTGTCACCAGACTTCTCAGTGTCGTCCGGCCCTGTCTGCGCTCGCGGCGCTGCTGCCTGGTCACCATCCTGGGCCGAGTGCATCGGTCGTATCAGCAACCCACCCTCGCCCCTCACAGTTCGTGATCCCCCCCCCCTTCGCTTCCCCGCAGGGTGCAATTCTGGACCGGGTGCGGGAACAGATAGCGGCCGAATCGGCGCTGGTGCTGCCGGATCTGGCGCCGCCGCCGCCGCCGCCGCCGGTGCTGGCGCCGGAGCCGCAGCTGCGCGTGGTGCTGCAGCCGCTGCAGCAGCAACAGCTGCTCGCCGGGGACACCAGCCCCCGGACGAGGCCGCGGCCGCGCGCGCAGGACCGCCGCCGCCACCGTGGCCGCCGCCGCCGCCGCCCGCGCCAGAGCCATGTGAGTGACAGAGCGACGCGAAGGCGCTGCAGAGCGATGGAGCGACAGCGCTACAGAGCAATGGAGCGACGACGTTATAGAGCGACGACCACCCGCTGGCGGGCGGGATGGGTTCCCTCCTTTGGGCTGGTGTCTACTGCAGCGAATGACATGGCTGGCTATGAGCGAATGATGCTTGTTTGCTTAATGATCGCCCGCACTGTGACACCAAGGATTGTTGAGATATTTGGATAACCGAGAAGTTTGTAATTGGGAGAGGTGGGGGGAATTACTACTACAAAAGAAGTCGTATTTACAAACAAGTCTAGAACGCCCGGAGTTGTTTTCATTTGTGCGCTGTGTCCGGCCGTTTTGCGACGCTCTCATGGTGTAACTGCCACCAGGTCGTGTCCACCTCGCACTGAGCCCATGTTCAGGCTACGGCTTCGCAGGATTATCTGAGCGTACAGAGAAAACGCATGATATGACGGAAGGTGCTCCATAAATGTGGCCGATAGCAGTGTGCTACCGAATTTTGCATTTTTCAAGGACTACTTTTGGTAAGCCCAGTCCTCTACGATGCGGAAATTGTGTCATTGTAGTCGGCGAAAGTTGATACAGGTCCACCTGTTTGGCTCCTCTGGGTCTGTGGAGGCTGTTCGATGGGGGCAAAACAGCTACTTCTGGTCGACGCACACGAAACCCCTTACCATCACACGCCACTCGGAATAGTACGACCGCGAACTTTGCACGTGAAGGTGTCGTGGCCGGTGATGTGAGCCGGCGACACCCGGTTCCCCGGCACACCACCGTCACGGCGCTGCCGTCCTCAGCTGGCGGGCGCGGCCGAGCTCGCCGCAGCCGCAGCCGGGGCCGTGCGACGTGCCGGACCCGGGGCCGGAGCCGCCGGAACCGGACGACTTCCGGCTCAACATCCCGCGCGACGACGACCCGGAGCGGCACGCCAAGAATTGCCGCATGGCCGCGCTCGGTGAGTGCAGTGGAAGGGTGGGGGCGGGGGCATTGGCGCTGTGGCCAAAACGACGCCTCTGCGTCTCAAACAGGACCTCTGGGTCTTTACTTTCCGGGTGGTGATCTCTGCTATAATCGCATTTGGTCGACTTTTATCACTGCTTAAGGCACTCGCTGGTGGGATGGTTATCACCACGCCGTTGATGCCTTGCACACGTCTTTGATGGCGACGAGGAACAATTTCCCGTGAAGCTGTTTTATAGGTCTGCAGTTGCAGGAGTCGGCGGCTTCTTTGACCTCCGCAGCTTGAGCGGCCGGCCGATGGTCGAACTTGTGTGAGCCGCACACCCTGTGGTCGCCACCGCACTGTCTCGTAGCGTTGCGTTGCTCCCACGTCGCCGCGCTGCCCGCCAGGCCTGGTGGCGAGCGACTTCGCCGAGCAGCTGCGCACGCGCGTGCGTCACAAGCCGCGCCGCCAGGCCTTCGACGTCAGTCTGGGCGACTTCCTCTACACGAACTGGGTGAGGCGGCGGCCGTGGCAGCGCACGGACGGCCAGAAGGCCTGCCTGCCGCGCACGGCCGGCAGGAGGCCGGAGCGGCGTACGCTGTTGTGGATGTTTTCAATGTGTCCAGCGTGCTCTCCCCGGCCACTCTTTCCCCTGTATTTGCATTGTCGTGTGTGTCTGTGCGTTAGAATGGCGTTTTCGTATCTTGTGCACCACAGGATATGATGTGTTGTCCTTGCTGAACCCCAGGCGGCCAAAACTTGTACTTGGTTGTGGGCTGGAAGGCGCGTTCTTCTGGATTCGCTTTGTATCAATAAATACCGTTTTATGTGTGACGACCACTACGGGCCATATGACTGAACAGGCGCCTGCTACTGTAGCTCAGGTGGTTTGTGTGCCAAATGCAATAGCATTACAGCATTTGCCGCTGGAAGTGCCTCTGTGGTTGTAGATAGCTGGTTGTTAAGTACGTTTTTCAGAGCATGCGACAGAGCAAATATCCGAGGTCCTCCTCGAAAATAAAACAGTCAAGTTTGGGTATTAATTTGTGTTTCGACTGCCACAGTTCACAAGTGCTCAATTGCACACCAAGGTCTGCCGGTCAGTACTGTGCCATGTGCCCCGACACCTGGCGCTGTTCATCGCCTTTCCGTCCGGGGCCACTCTCTGACGGGCGCCTCCGTTTCAGCGCAAACGCAAGGTTTTTCCGCAGCCGGCGGCGGGCGCCAAGCGGGCGCGTCTGGAGGCTCGGCGGGGTGGCCGGCCGCGCCGCCGCGGGGGCCGCTTTGTGGGCTCGGCACAGACGTCGCGCGCCGCCAGCCCAGCCACAGCGCCCACCTCGCGCTCCTCGAGCCCGCTGGCCGGCGCCGGCTCTGGGACCTCGAGCCCGCCGGCAGCTGTCGGCTCTGGGGAGTCCAGCCCGCCGGTCGCCGCCGGCTCTGCGACCTCCAGCCCGCCGGCGGCCACCGGTTCCGTCTTGGCCGGCCTGGAGGGGGCGCCACCGGCGCTGGTCAGCTACGTGGGGCCGCACCGACGCCGCTGTGAGCGTTGCGGCGGCGTCGGCCAGCTGCTCGTGTGCGACACGTGCCCGCGCGTGTTCCACCCGACGTGCGTGCTCGGCCTGCCGCCGGCCAACGCCAACGCCGCCTGGAGCTGCGGCCCCTGCTTGCAAAGCGCGCCACGCGAATGGGCAGGAGATGAAGACGGCGAGCAGGAGCAGGAGGCGCCTTGTGACGCTGTCGAGGAGCGGGAGCAGGAGCAGGAGAGAGAGGAGGCCTGCGGCGCTGATGAAGAGGGAGTGCGCGGCACGCCCGGTGACGCCTGCGGACGGGAACGCTCCACGCAAAGCAGCCACTGCTGATGCTACCTCAGACCAGGTCACCGTCTCGGAGACCCGCGGCGGCGCGGTACAGACCCTGGAGGAGATCGGGGGTCTCCTTCACGGGACACAAAACTCCGCGCATGAGGTGGCGCTTGTTGACGCTCCCACCGACCGCTCGGAGAACTCCGTGCTGCCGGGCGCGGCCAGCGGCGGCGGCGAGGTGTCGTCGCCGCCGCCCCGAGCCGGCCCCGAGGCGTCGGTTCAGCAGGCCGACTGGACCGTGGCGCCCGGCTCGGACGCCGGCGACGTGGCGGGGGACAGCGTGATACAGCAGGCGCTCGACTGGCTGTCGGAGGCGCCCGGCGCCGGCCTAGCCTCGCTCGGGCAGGACGCCTTCCTGCAGGACGCGCTCGATTGACTCATGCCCGTGTCAGCGCTGGCCGGCTGTTCATTGCGGAACCTCGCCGTGCGCCTGAGCTTGCGATTTTGTTTTGAGCTGGGCTCATGTGCCGTCGCGGTTTTGTACCTCACTTGACATTCCAGCGATCCGAGGAACGCTCGCGAGTCGAGCCCCGTGTACACAGTGGTTGTGTATGAAATATATTATCACCGGTCATATGAACTGTTCTAAGGGTCCCGATGGAAGCATCACAGATTGCACAGACCAGAGTACAAACTGAGGCAACGCTGGTGCAAGGGTTCTTCCGCGTCCGACCCTAGTCCCGCGCCGGGTGTCATCCCTTCTTCGGCTCTTGGCTGGCGTCGCTGTCCTCCGAGTCATCATCCTCGTCGTCGTCGGGGTCGTAGTCATCGTCGTCGTCGTCTTCGTCGATGGCCCCGCTGAACACGTAGCCGGAGGCGGAGTACGCTGGAGCGGAGTCGGGCGTCAGCAACGGAGCCACGAGATCAAACGCGCAGCGCAAACAAGACTCCACACACTATACAGATTTTACCGTGAGGAAGAACACAAGGCATCTTGGAGTGCACACAGCGAAATTAAGTGATATAATGGTACGTTACACGATGGTGGTTGGTGGTCTCTCAGAATGATGGCTACGGTAGTCTATCAGTTTCCACAGACAAAACCAAACCACGAACTTCGTCCAAACATGAGATACTTATTTCATAATCGTCAATCATGTTGCCTTTGTCCCAAGTGTGAGTATTTTTCAAAACCGTCCGGCCCCTGCATGAAGTACATCTGCTGGCCAGTTCCCCACGCAGCCCAAAAAAGGAGCGGCCGACAGCTGAGGGCGTTGGGCGCGTTGGCAGTCAGCCATAAAGCTGTGACAAGGGCGAGCCCATGTAAGGAATTCCTGTAAGCTCGAAGCCTTCAGAAGAAGGCTTGTTGCTGTGAAGACTGTTCGTGAGCCTCTGAAAGAGGGCGACAGGATCACGTAACAATCTGGGATACGGTGAGCCATTGCAGCACATTTGTTCCCTGGTGTGGTCAACTGACCATTCCACCATGCCTCGGCTACGCCCCTGACCCCGCCCTGTCCCTCCCAGGCCTGCTCGTGACGTACCTCCGCCGTATCCGCTACCGCCGCCGCCGGCCGCCGCCGCTGCCCAGGCGGCGTACCCGCTCGCGCCGCCGCCACCCTCGTCGTCGTCGTCGTCGTGAGCGCCGTACGAGCGCGTGCCCCAGTCTTCGCGACCGCTGCCGCCGCGGCCGAACTTGTGGCTGCGAGCTGCGGACGAGGGGCGGCGGTACAGTGACGTCGTCATGGGGGAGGGTTGGGGGTAGAGGCGTAGCAACAACAACCTGGGACTCGAGCATCATCAATTGCTTTCAAAACGATCGGTGGATGTCGTGTGTTGCCCGACACGCGAGAGAAGCACAGCCCCACCCTTCGTTCGCTCACAATCACTCCTTCCTGTTACAGCAGACAGCTCGTGCATCAATGCCCCACCATACCGCCGCTCGCAGAGAATGACAGGATGTAGCGAGTCCAGACGGCCACCTCCTCCCGTGACACAGCGTGATACCATCGCCAGACCAGGGCACACCGCCCTCCCCCCCCCCCCCCCCCCCCCCCCCCTCGCCACCGGCCGGCACTCACTCGACATGGACAGATCCTTGGTCTCTGAGGTCGGGTAGCTGCATTTGGGACAGGGCACGGGCGCGTTCTTCTCGTACTTGACGCCTTTCCGGCGCACGTGGTCGTCACAGAAGCAGACCTTGCAGCGCAGGCACGAGTGCTGGCCCAGCTTGTTGCAAGATTGGCCTGTGGGGGACAGACGTGGGGTCAAGTGAACAGCTGCACGGGTGTTGCTCTACTGCCGGACGGGTGCGACGCAAACCTCCAGCCGCAAAATGCATGTGTGTCTTTCATTAAACCTGTGAACGAGCGTGCCAAATGAAAACCCGAGATGCGACGACGGTGTCAGATCTGGGTTGGAGAGGTAAAGTTAGTGAGACGCTGCTCCTCTCAGTCTGCAATCTTTGTCCCAGCCCGCGCACCTGAAGTATCAAAGTGACTGAACGAGCAATAATCGATGCTCAGAGTGGCCCGACGCGCCATGGTATCCCGCAATCTCTCGCAAGGGGAGATCAAACGGCATCCCGTCAGCCATTACCAGCATAGCAAATCCCCATTGAGTGCCTTCTACATAAGGGATGATGCTGGAACACATGCGGCAATGCTCACCGAGTGACAATCATGATAGCAAACATTCGGAACTATCGACGGCCACGGTCGCTTTTATCAGGTACAAAATTCAGGAGACTGACACAGGCTACCGCATGTACACCTCAAGTGAATATCTACCAGCATGACCCGAACTGAAAGCTAATCAAAATCAGAATCGAACAGAACGAGCGAATGCGTTTTCTTCACGCTAGCAAACAGCGCAAATACGTGCTCGTTCCCCCGACCATGAAAGCACTCACATTTATACGTCTCCGACTCGAGGATCTGACACGACGCTTGATGCTCAAACTGGTCGTCCTCGCACAGGTAATTGTTGCAAAATGAGCACCTGAAACGGACAGTCAGTTGCATTCGGTTTACATCACAACCCTGGAAGCTAGAGCTAATAACGGCCCAGCGGCTACCGGGCCAGGAATGCGTTCCAGTCACAGCGCCACATACAGCATTCATGAAGTTGACTTCGCAAACAGTGGCAGATGGAGCAGCAGCAAATGTGACCGCAATGAACAGGTAGGAACATCGCTAGCGAAGGAAGTGAAGGTCACCCCACCCATTCCACAATCAACTGTTGTCAGGCGTCACCAACACATGAACTGGCGTTTTATATATTTCGTGACAAGTTGACAGAGCAAAGCTACACTGACAACGCTCAATGCCGCCCTCCTCCGAATGTCCGAAATCCTCCGAGTAAGCCTCATCAGCATTCAGCCTCAAATCCGCAGCAGTCTACACCGCAGTATACGGTTTCTTGTAGCCCACATGTTGCACACGCAGTCGTTGGCCGCCATCCGCATGTCTTCTCTCGTACTGCAGATCCATGACCCCCGCACAGACCCCCCCCCCCCCCCCCCCCGCCTCCCAATCAGGTCCCAAACAGTTCTGCCCTTTTCCTGCTTTTCCGTCAGCATTCACGAGTAAATGCTCCCACCTCCAAGCCTCGACCCCCCCCCCGAGCCCCGACCCCCCCCCCCCCCCACACTGGATCCCACCACATAATCTTCCTTTTCCCGTTCACTTCATGCGCGGCCCCCTCCGCGCCACTCACAGGTACAGGCGGCCGCCGTGGTCCCAGACGTCGCGGCGACACTCTGTGCAGAGCGCCTCGCGCAGCGGGCAGCCGCACGCGTGCGCCTGCAGGCACTTACGGCCGTGGCACACCCAGGCCTCGCAGAAGTCGCAGATGGCGCCCTGGCGGCACGACGCGCGTCAGTCAGCGCCCCTGGCGGGCGTCGAGGGAACTGCGGCTACACGGTTGCTCCCACTGTCGCAATGGTGGCGATGGTGGTGACGTGTTGGCGGACAAACTACTACTACCAACATGACCAATGCCTATTCAGCACGCCATTAAAAGCTACGCTGTAACCTATTCGCACAGTATCAAGTTCCTTTCGTCCCTGATTTTAATGGAACATATATCGAGGGGAAACTTTGGACAGCGCAGCAAGACACACAAACTTGGACACACAAAGCGTCGTACATGACGCGTGAACGCCTAGCCTGGGTATCACTGAAATTCATATCACATCGACACAAATTTCGACGCATCCATTCCGACATGTCAGACAAAACGCGATTGTCGCGAACGGCCGTCGTCAGGTACGAGATCCGGCCAGTGCTTACCACCATGGCCATGCCCGTTGTGAAGACGCCGGCGTGCTTGATGACGCAGTCGCCCGCCTTCAGCATGCACTTGACCTTGCCGCACTCGGCACACATCGGCAGCCGCTGCACCGACTGGCAGAAGTAGCAGAACGCCCGGTTTTTCTGCTTCCTGCAAACCCAGCCGGGGTGACGTCACACTCGAGTTGGTCAGCTGACGGACGAGACGGCGGCCGGATTACGCACAGGCGTCAGCACAACATCCATGGAGCCTTCAAGCTTGCAGTAATTGGGGTAAGTGAGTAGGTACAGAAAAATGTTCGCGGGATACTTAAGATGCGGAAAGTTCAAACAAAGCACTGATTTGCACGGTGTGTTTGTGCTATTTTTGTTGCCTCTTTGCTCTTGATAATCTCCGCTTTAGTCAGTTTAGCTTCAACGCATCAAACACTAAGCTGTTAAACCATGCAGCTGCGCGTCAGTATACCATCAGGATACTTGTAGTGTTACCACGCATGAAGCAAAACCAACAATAACTTTTCAAGAGGTGATTTCAACGCTGTTCTGCTTAGTTTTCGGGCCGAAAATGTCCATTCCAGGATCGTCTTTATCTTCCTCTCTTTCATTTCAGTTGGAGAGCTTTCCCGGCAGGCCTAGTCCCACAACAAATTTTAGCGGCAAAGCCTTGACACGAGTTTCTGCAACAGCTGATGTCAATCTACGTCATTGTTTACAGAACATTGCAAAAGTGTGCGCTCGAAAACAAACAACAAAATTGCAACAGCAATACAAAACACAAGATGGCAGCGGAGCACTGTTACGACATGCGTGCAATTCAAAGCTCGTCATGAATACGGCGGCCACGACTCAGCATGGTCCAAGACAGATAACAATTCACAGCCACGTCAAATTGTTGTGAAAAAGACGGAGCTTGATGGATGGCAATAATTAGCAGACGCACGGGCAGTAAAAAGGCCAACGCACTCAAGCGGAAAGCCCACCACAAAAAGGTAAATGACCGGATAACGCGACCCGCCATCGGCCCACGACTCACTCATCCATGCAGGCATAACCAACAAACAAGGCAGCAGCAAGGCCGAGCCGTTCACAGCCGCCGAACCATCCTGCACCCGCTCCGAGCACAACATCGAAAGCCTGTCATTTCCGGCGCATAGGTACCCGCACGCAACACCATCGTAGGCTGGACTTCAATACGATGGCAATCGCATAAGCTACATGGCACCAGGTTACGGCGGACCGTCATCTGGTGTCGCGGCGAATCAGCTCCTCGTGTCAGATCAAACACCCAGAGGGTCAGCACCCCTACCGGCCGCCTTACACCCAGAGGGTCAGCACCCCTAGCGGAGCCAGGACCCAAAGTGTCAGCAACCCTACTGACCGTCCGGACACCCAGAGCGTCAGCACCCCTAGTGACCGCCGGACACCCAGAGCGTCAGCACCCCAGGCGGCCGTCGAACACCCAAGGTGTCAGCACCCCAGCGGCCGCCGGACACCCAGGGCGTCAGCACCCCAGCGGCCGCCGGGCATCGGCAGACCGGCTGTGGCAAGCGAGCCTCGCGGTCGGCAGGCGGGTGCGTTTACGACGCAACCTTGCCCGGGGACGCCGTAACACTGCGCCGCTCTGCTCGGGACCACCTCAGCTGGCGGAGGTCATCAGAGGCCGGTGTCGTTACACCTCAGGGCCGGCGCGGCCCTGCAGAGCAGGACACGCCGCGCCGCGCCGCCGCTCTGTGCGGGACCATCTCAGGTGACGGAGGTCATCAGAGGCCGGTGCCGTTACACCTCAGGGCCGGCGCGGCCCTGCAGAGCAGGACACGCCCCACCGCGCCGCCGCTCTGTGCGGGACCACCTTAGCTGACGGAGGTCGTCAGAGGCCGGTGCCGTTACACGTCAGGGCCGGCGCAGCCCTGTAGAGCAGGACACGCCGCGCCGCGCCGCCGCTCTGTGCGGGACCATCTCAGCTGACGGAGGTCATCAGAGGCCGGTGTCGTTACACCTCAGGGCCGGCGCGGCCCAGCAGAGCAGGACACACCGCGCCGCGCCGCCGCTCTCCGCTCAGCTGGGGAGGGCGCGGCGGCCGGGGTGCACGGTCTGCCGCACAGCCGGCCCGCTCGCCAGCGCGCGGCACTCGGCCCGGGCGCGCGGCGGGCAGAACACGGCTCGGGCGGCGGTCGCCACGGCGAGCGGCAGCGGTGTGGCCGGCCGGCTGGGAGGCGCCACACACCAGGCGACGGGGCGACGGGTGAACCACAAGACGAGACGAAAGGCCACGACGCCGGGGAAAAACGCCACTGCGAGCGGGTCGTGGGGGACTGGAGATTCGCGTCGGCGATTGGCATCGAGCCAGAGGCATCGTGAGAGTTGGCGACTCGGCGACGCCGGTCAGCGGAGCACCACTGGCGGAGACGACGTCCGCACGCGGAGGCGACCAGCATTCTGCCGCTGGACTGACCCGACAGCGATACGCTCCGCGGGCAGCGATACGCTCCACAGTTTGTAGCGCGCCCCGTGTCGCGATGCTCCCAGCGCAGGCCCAGTGACTGTGGTGTCTGGCCGATACTGTGCCTGCACGAGAACTTCGCGCTGCCGACAGGTCGCTCGTGCACGTAGAAAACGGGCCGAGTTGTGTTTGAACTGTGTTTTTATTACAAGTCTACCGCGAAGAAGCAGCTTGCACGTGCAATTCACATTAACAGGCCACCATCCCCATCCAAGACACCGAAATTGGACAGCCGACTTGTGATGCGTGATACACGATAGCATCCTGTGATCCGCCGCCGCCACGCTCCGGACGTCAACCCGCCGCTGCGGCTGCCGGTCGGACCTGCGCCCCCTCCCGGCGCGCCATGCGGTGGGCGCGCGCCGCGGCGCTGGCCGCCGCCTTGCTCTCCGTGTGCGGCGCGCTGCGCTGCCACATCTGCAGCTCGGCACCGGAGGCGGGCGCCGCCGCCGACTCCACACTGGGGCGTATCCTGACGTTGGCGCTGCACGCGCCGCCGCCGTGCGAGCGCTTCGCCGCCGGCGAGCCACGCTTCAGCACCGTCTGCCCGGCCGGCCTCAACGCCACCTGCGCGCTGGCCGAGGACGCGCAGGGCCGGCGCGTGCGTACCTGCTTCGGCGCGGCGGCCGGCGGCGCGGGCTGCCGGCGCGAGGCGCACGGCCGCTTCTGCCTGTGCGTGGGTGACCTGTGTAACGGCGCGGCCGACCGGGCGCCGCTCGGCGCTGCCCTGCTGCTCGCCGTGGCGGGTGTCGTGGCTGGGCTCTGACCGCGGAGGAGAGCGGCACGGGCCAAGACCCGAGCCCGGTCTGTTGCGTGAGGGCTTTCGGACAGGTGCGACCATTACAGTGAAATGAGCCGGAGCGGCGTCGCATGTGGGCGCACGAAACGGCGGACTCATCTGCCTTAGAAGACAAGCGGCATCGAGACACGACGAAATCAAGATCCCCACCCACGACGATACCTGACGCCGCCGCGCCGCGCCCAGACAACACGATCTCCCGTCTCGTATCGGACCGGCGCCTGGAGCGTCAGCAGGGGCGAGCCTGGCGTGCCGTGTCTGCCGCAGACGGCGCGGCGGCGGGCCGACCCAGACCGGCGCGCCCAGCCCCTGGCCACGCGGCGGCCGGCGGCCGGAACGGCACCTGCCGCGCGCTCCGCAGCCGGCATTGTGACGCGCCGCGGCCGTCCAACATACCGCGGCCATTGGCGCACAAAAGGCACACGACTTCAGCAGGAAGTCGGCGGAGCTCATGGTCCGCGTGTGGGGCGCGAACAGAGCGTGAACAATGCCGTGTCCCGGTGCGCTGCTAAGTTGCTTCGAAGGACTCCAACGGCGCTTTCACAATGCGCCACGAGCAGCCCTGCTACGAAATTGTAGGTCTGTTCACTAGCGAGAACGATAAACAATGCAGCCCAAGGGCGCGCGATGTGGCTGGCATTGTCCTTAGCAGTGGGTAGTCGCTTCGCCGCTACATGTTTTAAGGTCTAACCGTTGATAAAAAGGGTGGGCGCTTCAATAAAAGAATAGCACAAAAAGCCTTCTACCCACCATACGAAATGTAATGAATTGCACATAAATAAACAGTGATAAGGATGACAATGCGTCATCACAACGCCCGTCGACGGCAATTTCATGGCTCCACGCGCCGTGAAATTCGCCCGCTGCGCGTACTTCCTTTCGGTTCGTAGCGGACCGGGAATCGCTGCCTCTGAGGTCGCGGGGTGTGCAGGGACGGGGTTTATCACGAAACGAGCAAGCCCTGGTCCGTGACAAACAAACGGCATAAAGTCAGCCAGCCAAACAGGAAGGTACTCGCCGAGGGCATCCCTGGAGCGATACATCAGCAGTAACAACCGTCAGTCAAACGGCGAGTTTACTTGACCTGAATCTACAGCGAGGAGAGAGCCCATACATCACTATTAAAGGTGTCGTTTTCTGGAAGTTCTGGTCGGAAGTTCAATTCAAAGCCACAGGATGAATCAGCTGTCCGCCAAAAAAGTTTCCAAAGCAAAATGAGCTTGTTAAAAATTCGAACTTTCTAAGCACCAACTCACCACTACATGCAACCAAGAACCTCAATCACTACTCACGTCGCTGGATTCCCTCACTCGAATCGAATGAAACGAAAGAAAGTGATCGTGGGTAAGTAACGTGCATCTGCACTAAATTAGATGAGATGCATACAAATTTGCGACACCACAGAACGATATCAGCTATCCAAACATTCCAAAAATCGTTGCCCCCGTCCGCCGAATTTCAAATAAAAATTTTCAAATTTAAGGAATTCCAACAATTGGGAATACAATACGCACCTCCCAATCACTACACGAGCCCCCACTGCTCCCCACTGTGCAGCATCACGGCGCGCGTACCCGGAGGCGAGCCGGCTGAGCGGCTGGGCAGCCGAGCAGCGCGGGACAGCGGCTGGCCGACCGGCCGCGTGACGAGCATGTGTGGTCCGGCCACGCGCCGCAGCAGCGGCGTCGGCGCGGCCCCGGCGCCGGCTCCGCGCCGGTGCCGCGCTCGAGCGCGACCGGGCAGGAACCGGAAGAGCGGCGACTGAGCGGTCGGTAGCGAAGCGCCAGACGCACCAAGCTGCTTGAATTGCCGTATTCTGATGCAGAGTTCTTAACTCGCCATACGTGTTCCACAGAATAAAGCGTCGTTCCATTAACTGGCGGAACGAACATCACGGGCGTCGCCAAGAACAGTCCGCTTGGACTGACCGGTCTCTGTTGCGGCTTGCCGGGCGCAAGGGCCTTCTTCATGCCATCAAACGGGACTACGAGAGATCATGTGTGAGGCAAAGAACGCCCTGATCAGAGGCTGCTTACAGGAAGAAGTGTTTGGAGAATGACAAAAACTTTACTCAGGCCTGATCGCAGCGTAAAGATGTGTGTGACGGCGACGAAAGCCTGTTGTGATTACAAGTGTGGACTATACGGGCACTTGCTCGGCGAGCTAGCCGCCTAAGCTGATACCCCAATATCGCAGTTGGGAATGGGTTACATGACATGGATGTAAACACGTTCCCGAATTAAGGGTAAGATAAACAAGGATTGTGGAGCAATCTCGCCTGAAATCAGGTTTTCCACGGGAAAGAAGCGAAGAAGTCCTTTTTCACCAATATTGGCCGGAGGAGGACAGAAGCCCACGCTGGCAAAACTGGCGGGGTGTGTAGCTTACACTCCTTCCTCGGAGGTCGCACTCATGCATGAGCCACGCGGCACGACACCTCGCCGTGGCTGCCGCCATTCTGGAGTCGCCTAGTGCTAGCCTGAGCAGCCAACCATCCGATGGCAGCCAGCTGGCCAGGCACATCACATGATGGCGTCCTCGGGGAGCGACACCCGTAGTCAACAGCAAGACCCCGGGACACAGCCACAGGTGCACGCACGTACCCAGTGCTCGACCCGCGCAGGTGCTGCTGACATGTACAAGATCGGGCCAGCCAATCGCACCCAAGCGGGCAGCACTTTACTGGCTTACTTTTGGCATTTGTCGCACTCCATCACCCCGTTGCATGGCTGGTCTATCAGGCTTCTGTTGGCTTTGTTGGCGCCAATCTGCTTTTGTCTCTCCCGCTGTTTTTCCGCCTTCTTCCTTTGACCGGTCTTCTTCTTGGGCATATTGGCGTGTGTATTGTGCTACACAATTAAATGTTCTGAAAAAACATTCAATTCAGAAAAATACACGTAAAGTAAAAATGTTACTGCATAACCAGCGAGCTTCCACTTCCTCACATACATCGCATGCACATTGGTATCAACGTGGAGCCGTCAGCCAAACAATGTTTCGTAGCCTGTTAAGTGCATATGTGAGGAACATTATGCGCATAGATAATACAGTATTAATGGCCTTATTTCTTGTAGAATAACCATGAGAATGGAATGATAGATGGATTGATATTTCGGCTACATGCCCTTCTCGAAACGAATATCAGCACCAAATTCCTACATTCATCTTTTAACATTTACTACTGATATTTATTTCGATAAAGGACTGTAACCGAAGCATCAATCCATCCACCTTTCCACTCGCATGATTGTTCTACGAGGAATAAGGCCACTAGTACTGCCTTCCCAAACAATATTTCGAGTAGTCATATCAAGTGTGCTTCATTGGCACGTGCTTATGTTCCACTGCCATTGTTGCTGCTATCACCACCCGCCAGATGAACCTTAGCGGAGAAATCGACACCGCTGGTGGCAGGCGTCCCGGACATACAAACTCCCGGCCCCGCGGCAGGCACGCTGGCCTGCCGTCCGGCTGACGGAAGACACGACGACATGACACAGCTGCTGCGGCACTGTCCTACGCCATGGCTCTGTTGGGTTAACATCTGATCCCGAACCAAGGCGAGCAATAAGGCGGAAACAGGGACAAACCCGATGCTCCGGCCTACGTAAAACGACCCTTTTCAGCGCTAGGTGATCTAACGCAATTTTATACGCCAAACACACCAGTAGTACGCCTATTGTGACGAGCGACGGGCGAGGTGATAACAGACGTCACTGCTATCAGAATGCGGGCGATGCTGAAACATCAGCGAATGGGACCCGTCGCCTCATGGGAGCCCAAACGAGCGGAACTTCCGCGACCTAGGCCACAGGGTGACGTATTTGAGGCGATTTCCGAAACTTGACAGTGGAAACTTTTCAGTCGATTATTAGCGCGCCTATGGGCGTTCGGTGTTGAGGTTGCTGTGTGATTCGTAGACGATACGTTCACCCACATCACGTCGCTGGTCTCACGTCAGCGTTATTGTTAAGTTGCAGGTATGCTCCACTTGATCATATACCCCACATGTAAGTGCGTTTATGGCAGCAACTGCAAGGCTTTTAAAGGATCACCGTTACTTGCTATTGATGGGCTTGACGATACTGACAACTTTAACTTTACTGACGTGCACCGATGGCGTGGTAGTGACGGGCCTGCATTAATCACCTCGCGTCTAGGAAACCGGAGGTACGGAGATCGATTCCCCGTAGCGCCCGTCCTTCTTGTCATGGTGAGGCGACTGGCATATAGCCCCAGCAGATGAGTGCGTCACTAATCCCCAATGACAATGATAACTTTAAGGAAGTAAAACTAAGCTGCATGATACCAGCAACGATGTAAGACTATGAAAGGCAAGATGTACTGGGTCGCTGAAGCTACACCCACTGAGATTAGTTCATGTCAAGACCTATTTCGACCTGCAGTCTCTCTCAGTTCGATTCAATTCAGCTTTCACTCAGTTCATTTCAGTTAATCTTTTTATAGCTTGAAGAGGTTCACAGTTCAAATAGCCTGAATCCAAAATGAGAGCATCATAATAAGGAGGAAAAACAAACAGCCCACACACAGCTTCCACAAATAACCATCACACTGGCATCATATCATATAATGTTAGATGTCAGATACAATGACAATCAATCATCACATCTCAGCAGTAAGTTTACATATCTGGATTGTGCAGGGATGTGTTCCTCAAGTTTCCTATGGCCAGCAACAGGTCAAAAAATGTACCCCCTGTAACTGAGCCCACTACCTGATGCATTGTTTCTTGCTGTTGGGGTCTGGAGTTGCTCAATCATGTGGTGCACAGTGGTACTTTTACTGTGGACATAGTGTAACATTTGGCAAACCATTACTAGTTTGCCAGAGCATGATACAAGCTTGATCTTCCCTATTGCCAACACTGAGGTGAAATCACTGGGGATATAGTGTAGCATATTTCTATTAATTACTGGTTGGCCATAGTGTAGGACATACAGACTTCATCTTCCTCAGTTGACAATCTTGGATGATTGTTGACAATACAAATTTTGGCTGAAAAACAAGCCTCAAGTGATGTATCATTGTGTTGTGCATCATTCATAAAACATGTAAGGTTTCAGATTCAGGTGGCCAAATTGCAGGAAATTGATACATTGGTTTGCTTTGATCAGGTTACATTTCATGTCACCAGGAAAGACCAATGCAATGTCTTGTGTTTACAATGACAGATGCAAGGTGGAGTAGCACTGCAACCATCTCTGGGTATTTCAGACACTGCCATTTAACCCCACACAAATTTTACATCAATGTGTGAGGGGGCACTCTCCCAGATGTCTCAGCCAGACTGCTGGATGTCTCAGCCAGACTGCTAGAATGTATGATGAAATAGTGAAGTGAATAAAAGGAAGGATAATGCATCACAATAGCCTCTCTTATATACAGTTGCATTACATTTTTCATGTTTTACATTACAGCTCGCATTCATTTTTACATGGTTAAGGGCCACATGCCCACTTTGCAGACTTAACAAATGCATCAAATTGTGCCTGGTGAGAAAGGTGTATTATCACAAAATGAAATAATTTAATGTGTTGAACCAAAATACAAGGTTTGAAAAACTAACATTGGTGATACCTTGCTGGTATAACATATGCTCAGTTTTTCTATTCAGTTCATATCATACCATGATATTGATCAAAATCCTTCAATTCTTCAATTTTCTCTCCAATTTATAGCATGCCATGATATTTATCATAATCCTTCTTCTATCAGTCTGGGCAGGCAATGGCCTGCTGTTACATCAAAGTGGCCCTTTTATGTTAATAGCTGAAACACATGATGAAATGTCATGCTAGCTATGGAATAGTAACTACCACCTTGTGTCAAGGCTACTTTAACTATTGACTGCCACAACTATTGATCAAGGAAGAGTGAAGTAAGCTGTTGTTCATGACCATTCACTGATCTTGAGATGAGTATTTACATCATATGACAAAAAGTACTTTGTGGTATCAAAAAACATGCCATGAAAGTAATGTATTATTTGAGAGGTAATTTCAATTGATCCCAGACATTTAGAACAGAAGATGGGACATCATCATGAACACATGCACAAGTATAGATTTTTGAGTGTCTTGAGTCTAGGTCACAGCCAACAGTACATATTTGGTCATACAACAGTCATTGCAGTTCACATCTCCATATTGAATGGCTTGCATCAGCAAAGGCCATCAGGCATCAGTAAGGTAGCCACAAAAGTTATTGCTAAAAAAGTGTGTTATTTTGAGATCACTGTTGCTATTCTGTGTTTAAGTAATGGCTTTATGCAACTAGGCCCACCTGTAAATATTAACTCCACTGTGCCACATACATTTAAGACATCAGAGTATCAAACCTCATGCCCACTCATGCCAAAATCAGGAAGAGCAAAATCACACCAAATTCAAGAACTGTTCTGAATGGAAGATGTTTTCTGAGTATTTTAGTGCATCATGCTTTCAACATCATCATTTCTTGAAGCATTAGGCATGCTCTGAAATGGGTGCAGACTGTGCATCAAACTCTGAAAGCCCACATTTCTAAAAAACATACGCTGAAACTGTTGCCATGTTTCCGCCACGCCGGACACGTTTGGCATAACGTGCCTTCTTTGCAGCGTGTCAAGTGGTATGCTGTAAGAGGTGGCGCGAACCCATTTCTGGCCAAATGTACCATTCAAGTGCAACATACCATGGCTACCACTTCCTCTCTATTATATCCATGCAACATTTCATGCACGATGCTTCGCCATTCTGAAGATAACCTAATACAGTTACCCTACCTCGTGGCAGACCGCTCCCAGCATTACTCACGTTACAAGCGAGGAAGACCGGGGGCATAAGCGGCCAAAGTCGCATTGTTCGTCGCATATGCGCCATGCCGACCACCAAAATAAATCCCGGTAAAGAGATGGTCCAAGTTGTGATTTAGCTCCTAGTGCTGGGTGCACACGACGGTTGTCACACGGTTGATGCCAACACGGTGTTGAACATGACGGCAAGCACGACCTGAGACCAAAATATCGAACGGGGCAAAAGAACATGTGGTAAGACAACACAATTAAAAATTGACCACAGGTAATTGCAGGTTTAGGTATGAAACCCTTTTACACGACAATGTCCAATATAATTATTCAGAGAAAGGCCATTCGGAAATACAGATCGTGAACAATTGTGGGCATACCCATGGGCGACTATGATACCGATGCACCAAGTCCAACCCGCCCACACCGACAAAACCCAGCTGGCCTAAATGCACACCACCGAGCACAATCGAACAAATCTGCACCTTCTGGGGTAGCTAAACTAAGTCGATCGGGACCAACCAGGTTTGAGCGGAATAAGTTCCGCTTACATGATCTCACCTCCGATATCCAGAAGTCCACAGTCCATTGTTCACTAGAATTCAGCAACATGATTCAGCAATGCAACTTGGCCAACGTCACATAACCAAACACAGGGACGATGTACTCCATCCATGTCATGTCAACAAACGGCCTTCCCTGATAACGGCCCAACATAATATACACGATGTCCTGCCATGTGAGCTCTTGTCATTTTCGTCTTTGTCAAATGTTGTCTCCGTTCAGCACGATCTTTTATTCCATAGATTATCTATCCCGTGCGTGTTTTTATTACGCGAGTTCTGTCCGGTGGGCAACCATTTCGTGCGCAGGCACATATGTATGAATCGTTTCTCTTTTGCTTTTTTGTGGTGTGTAGCTTTACTGTAGGCCTTTTTATTTGTTTTAGCTTTCCCATGTCATATTCGGAGCTTTGCACGAAAAAAGGCATCGGTAGAAGACACTGAAGTCCTAAAGGGACACAGTAGCTTCTATCTGCTGGCTCGCAGGCCCAAAAAGGCATAGGGTTAATTAGACATGATGTTCATCAGTGTGGCGATGTCAGTATCAGCATTGCATGGCTCCATCGATTCCAGACTCCAGCCTGCCAGACGGGGAGTGGACGGGACATACCATGAACGTCGGCCGCGCCGGCGCACGAGGGCCATCAAGTGAGCACACCTCTCCTTATAGCGTCCCCACGCGACCGCGTCACCAGTCGGTGGTGGGCCGAGAGCAGAGCAGCGGGGACGTCGTTCGGAGGGCAGCCAATATCTGTCACCGTCTTACTGCAGGTCTAGGACAACAAGGTATTAGTGCCGGTATGCCATAAACCGCATGCATGTCACTGATATGTGTCCAAACCAACGTGATGTAGGGTAAGCACTATTTCACCGTACAGTGTTTGTCGCTTTGTCGCCATACTCCTAGTGCCCTGGGTTACCTAAGACAGCCATTGGCGTGCACCCGACAAAAGCCCCTTTGCATCTGATCCCAAGCCGCTTACAGGACGAAATGTTCGTTTCGTCATTTCTAGGAGATGAAATCCTATTAGACATGTTATGTCATGCAGCTAGAAGACTCCATGGAAGACGTAAGAAGCACGGACTGCTGTGAATGGTAAGTCAGCGTAAGCAAAAGCGAGCGGTGTCAAAGGCTCCTTCTACACGCTAAAACTATCCGGTAAAATGACGTCATGACAAGCTGATTGGCAATGGTTGAAATCCTCATCTGCACGGACGACTTTTCAGCCAGGTGCCATCAAGTTGTGATCATTTAGATGCCCGCATGAGCATAAAAACGTATTCACGACGTAAAAACGTTCCCGGGTGTGGATGGGAGCGCTGAAAGTCGGACCCACCGTCCAGGCAGGCAAGCCGACTAGTGGCTGAACGCAACTGAAGGAACTCAAGTGTCAGCAGAAAAGGGTCATTATGGCTAGGCATGCTTAGCCATGCTTAGCTTAAGCATGCTCAGTCGCTTAGCCGCCAGACCCGGACATGGGGAGATACATTGCTACTGCAGCTCTTCGTGCAGAGCCCACGCGTGGGATGCGGCTGGTCAACGCAGTGACTGTGACAGCGACTCCACGCAGACATCCATTAAGAATTGCCAAACTACTGCCGTCCACGGTCCACTCACCTGTGACCGTGAGATGTAATGGCGTCGGCGGCGCAGCAGTTTTCCTGCCCCTCCCCCTTCCCCTTCCCCCTTCCCCAGCGTCGCCATTTGTGGGCCGCGAGCCGCTTCAGAATTTAGGCCACCAAAGCCCACGAGCTCTCCCGTCGTGCCTGACCGTGAACTTTGAGCGCCTGGGGCGCCGGGTAAGTGGCGTGGCGCGTGCCAGGTCGCGGCCAGCCGTGCAGCGGTTCGTCTGCCGCGTAAAAGGCTAAATAGAAGGTATGCCTCGGTGTATTACTCTGGGAATAAGCCCCGGAGACCCATGGCTAGACTGGTCGTGTTTTACATACGTTGCAACCGGTGCAATGCACTCAGGTTGGCGTTGAGATGTCTTGTACACATAACAGTTATTAAATCGCATCCAACTATATGCATCGTCAATTTGCTATCTAAATGGCGGCAGCTGTGACGCTGCCCTATTAGCGACTGAATTTTACGAGAGGTGTAAGCGGATTGCGTAAGTTGCAGCGCCCCTACTGATTACCCCTCGAGTGTATTGCATCACCTTGTTGTGTTGTTTCTGAGTGGATTGCGCTACCAGCTCAATCAACCCATGTGTGTGAATACACAAAGTTGTTCGGCGGGCCTAATCTCTTATTATTGGTGGGCCCATCATCACATTACAGTAGTATTGGCCTCGCGTCCGTGATGGGCATGCTTACGATTCGGGATCACATCCTAATATTTACAAAATATTGGTTTGCTTTATGCTGTAACTCCAAAAACTCTGCTGGACACGCCATTGAAGCGTACATGCCTTCCTCAACAATGATATCAATGGTTTTCAGAGTCACCGACATGACCGGCCTGAAGACAGCCATCGCGGTGGGTATCGTCTTACCAGTGGCGTTACTCTGCGCCGAAGGAGCACCGGCTAATGGAATACGCCTACCACCAAGAAATCGACACATCACTCCCATGGATGGTCTTCGGTATGCCACGTAATCTGCACAAACGCCTGGCTGTTTTACGGATTAAGGACATTGGTATTTGGGGGGATTTAGCGCGCTGTGAGGTTGCACTGGAAATCGCTGCGAGAAGCCCGCGGTTTTGATGAAGGAAACACGCGTTCGCATCTCGCGCACGGCCTAGTATTTTTCGCCCAACCCGTAGCGGCACATTTCATGAGAGCACGCTACGTCAATGCCCAAAACTAATTCACGTCCAGCAAACTGTGCAATAGTCAATTTATCACATGACATACGTCTTCGCATTCGTGCATGACAAAGTGTGAGGCAAACTCGCGTTTCTGGCTGTCACTGGATGATGCGCCGCCCTGTGTTCGTTGAACAGACCGGGAGACTCTGGCGCGTTGGAACGGGCCCTAGACCGTGCTTTCGGTCCTGCGCTGAACTACAATACGTTGGTCATCTGCCGTCCCAGGCCCACGAGGAGCAGGCCAGTAGAGTGGGGTCGCTTGCGCACATAAGACCGTTACGACGTCAACATGTAAAAAACAACACCCGCACGTCGTATGTGCCTATTTCGAATCACAGTAACAGGGTCTATATGGGAAGATATTGAATGGGTGCATGTTAGGTTTAGGGAGTCTGAGCTGCTAGTCTTGCCAGAATACCGTTTTGTATGTCATGTACATGCACTTAGGATGTATCTATTAATTCTGGAAAGTTGTCTCAACCGGTTAGTTGAATCCCAGGACCTTTAGCACGCCACTAAACAAACCAATCCTGACGATCTGACTTGCAAAACATGCAGCTATCTGCACGTGACTATGTCATGTTATTCCTTATTGTTGGAATAAGCTGACAAAGGTGGCGAGTGCCAGGGAAGTGTATGTTCCGACTTGATCGCATGAAGCTTTTGAAGCATGAAACTCTCGAATGCGGCGTTTTTCAGGGTCTTGAAGAAGCGGACATGCTGGTTCAATGGTGGCATGTCGCACTCGTGCGACTACAAGGAGGCGTTGACGGTCGCCAAGGAGACGAACTTCTTGCTCTCCAGCCTGACGCCTGGCAAGCGAAGGCGTGCCGGAGCCGGAGCGCCGCAGAGCGCAGAGTTTGTCGACACCGGCTGAGGTCGCGCCTGCGTGCATAAATCGCCAGCAAACCTCTCGAAGCAGGGACACCCGCCCCGCTGGGATGCTGCGTAATGAGCATTTGTGCGATGCTTCTTTGTGCTGTTGATGGTCTGCCTACATGAGGCTAGCAGTCTTCGCTACGCAGTCGTTTTCGTCGTTGCGTGACGCAGTGGACTTGTGATTTGTCGTCTTTTCTGCTCACAAGCATCATCTCTACCGCGCATTAAGCATCGTCTCATGATGCTAAATCAGTTGTGCTTATATCAAGCTAAGCCATCTTATACTTGCTCTGTGCAGAAATGTGTGTTTCTGATTTATTTTCGTTGTCTTGATTGACACCTCTGCCAGCTAGATGCTCATCTAAAACACGACAGGATGAAGCTGCTACATCATCGACATATGCTGGTTTTCTGTACCGATTTTCGGTTTGCGTCGTGCCGCCGTATTTCAGACTGCACCGTTTGGGGAGCGTGGTGATATCTCTCTACCCAAGAATGGGCACTGAACATTGTTTGGATAATTGACAACCTATTAACGTGGCGATCGCAAGACATTGTTCGACAGAACTTAATAAAACATGCAACAGTCCTTATTGTAATGGCATATCACATTTGAGAAATACAATTATTTTGCTCCAATATTTGTTTAAGCCGCGTGGCAAGGGTGGAGATTGCCCGCACGTCGGGTTTTCTGCGGTAACTATATCAAAGCAAGGATAGAGAACCAAAAGCATTCAATGCTTAAACTTCATATGATATATCATTTAATGTTTAAGCTTAATGTAATGTATTAGTCGATGCTTAAGCTTGACATAACTTGCCGCAACAAAATTTCAGAGTTATCTCTTCACATGTCATATTGATACCGGAGAATCGATCAGGGACGCCGCTCCATGGTGATGGTGTTGATCACCGAGCAGAGTGCTCATGATGTGGTCTCCATAGATACTGTGCCGGCGAACAAAGACACTGCTGGGCTACGTTTAGACCGCTCTTTCTGACGACCAGCATCTTTGCCTTGACATTCTTATTTTCGACCCATTATATACCAGCCTATGTTAGATTATTGAAAATGCACTCAGAATGCCTCTAGAACAAGCCGGCTTATGCGTTTCCGCTTTCCGACTCGGTGGCAGGTGGTTCGGATGAGGTCGACGACCGCAGTCTCTAACCAGGACAGCTGTGAACATTTGGGGATTAGGGCCGTCTCAGCATGGCTCACGCGAGTGAGCTCATGTCGATCGTCGTCTCAGGTACAGTACAGTGAGCTGTGCCACAATCCACCGCCTGGCACGGCGACCTGGACAGCGGGTAATATCTGTGTTTCGAGCGGTGTTTCAGTTCGGCCAAAGTTCAGGCTGTTTAAGTGGTCATCCCGCAGTGCAAATACGTCCTTGGCTGTACATGGCGCATGGTAGACATGCCTTGGGGCTAATTTCCGGATCGGCCAAGCGTAAATTGAGAATCCCCTTGGAAGATTATTGGAGAAGCGATCAATCGTTGAATAACTCTCCCTCTGCCGAACGCGACCTAAGCAAAGTGGTAAAAGACAAAATGTGAAATTAGTTGAAAAATGGTAAGCCGCTTTGTTATTTGAAAACTCGGATGTCAATACTAGAACTTCCGAAGCACATCTGGTGTAGTCCGAATCCCCAGCTTCTGACTCGTCACTCGTGAGTACGCGATGAACTATTAGGGCGATAATTCCTACAGCGATAATACCTTTGGCTACTTCATTTGTACAAAGCACGCTTCAGTCGCACAAAGGCATGATACCCGGCCATCCAGGCCGTTGCACTACTAATTATTGGTTTAAGCCAGCTGCCTGATACTTAATTCGCTAACCAAACGTTGTAGATACTTTCACGAGCACTGCATAGCTGCCGGCGATCTATAAATATTTCAAAAAATAGTTATACATTGCCTAATATAATTGTTTGCAGCCTACAGAACGTTATTCACCAGGTGATCACATTCTTACGTCACTTATTACTACGGAATTGACAAGGCATAAATAGCCGGATCATCGATCCCCGTAGGCAGCGTCGGGTCATGATACCCACTGCGGATACGCGGAACTCTCGCCTCGCTTTGTTCTGCGTGCCCCCGTATGCAATTTATCGATACATGATCGATTCGATACGCGACATTTCAATACATTTGCGAATCGACTGCACCAAACAGGATGCAGTGTTAGTCTGCCGCTGAGTCAACATGTCACTCCAAGGAAAACGAGAAGCTGTTTGCTTTGGTTGAGAAAGGTCATAACCCGCCGCCGCCCGGCAAGGTTAGCCACTGATCAGAGCTCACGCACTGCAAGTCATGAAGCCGTGGCGAAGTTTACCAGCTATCAAACGGCATGCTGCGTGGCCGATTCGACTAGCCCTGTGTAGTAACTAACAAACATGGCTCAGAGGCTCCTGACGCTCTGCAGTGGCACGTAGCTCCCTACCGATGACGTATCTCCAACACAGTACACCGAATATCAATGGAACATTCTGGCAATGCTCACATTTTCACTTACGATTATCGCATATATATGCAAGTTAGCCAAATGGAACAACTCATGAGGCGTGTGCCACCAGACTGATAGTTTTCCGGAGCATTTTTGATGAAGTGGCTCCTAGTTACCACACGGTCCTTGAAGGAGCTTGAAGTCAGCTCCGTGCCACAGCCTCATCAGTGGCCGCTCGGTTGGCCATGTCGCGTTCGTTGACCCAGGCATCCACTGGACAAGTGTGCTTCTGCTTCCCACTGACATGACCTCACAGGATTCGGGTCAGGTGATGTAAGCGCACCTTAACCCCATCTCGTGCTGATGACCCTTGAGCAGGGCACACAATACCCCAGGTGGTACGGCTGTGCTATCTGGGTCGGCCGCTGATCCCGTGGCGTATATAAGATGCTTGCTCCCTACTCAGGGCATCCCAAACCAGCCGACTATCGAGGCTTTTGCACGGAACCCAGAAATGTGGACGCGTCTTCCTCTCCTCATGTGTGCCGTGGCGGCTACTGGTGAGTGGGTTCTGTCCTGCCATGTACGCGCATTCTCTCATACCAACAAAAATATTTTATTAGGTGTTACAGAGTTTGTGAAATGTAAGACATGGTTAGTAATTAAGTAGGTTAAGATGGCATGAGTTCTTGCAATAACTATATACGTGATGTTACTTCAGTAAGTTGTATTTTGTTATGACTTTTCGGTCACGGACTTTGCTCACAGAATCGAAAAATTGAAATATGATTCAGATATATACCAAAATATTTGAAATAATTGGTCCTTTGAGCAATGCCCGGGACCGAAAATTCGTTAAAAATACAACTTACTGAAAGAATACAATGTATATAATCACTGCAAGGAAACCATTTTAATTTGAAAAAGTTTCTTTTGTGGGTAACAATTTCATTTATTTGCGACAAATAAATATGTTGTGCTCGCAGCACACAGGTACAACGCTGTATGTACCACATGCAGCTCGCCATTTTCAACTCCCCCCCCCCCCCCCCCCCTCCTCTTTCAGCCGCACAATGGCATATTGATTCTGAACGGGACAAGCACGGTGCACCTGTACGAACCTGATACCCGTGACTTCCACGAGACAAACCCTTCCTGTGACGGCATACGGCCGTCTGGTGGAGGGGGACATCTTGAGGTTGCCCGAGGAGGACCGCAAGGCCATCTCCAGCGGCCAACTGTGGGACGACAGGCGCTACAACTACGAGATCGTGGCCGAGGACAAGCGCGGCTTCATTGAGGCCGGCATTCAGTTCTGGAGGGAGAATTCGTGCATTGACTTCCGGGAGGTGTCGCCTGGCAGTCGCCTGCCCCGAGTCCAGTGAGTGTTCCACATAGCAGCCTGTCAAGAGTTCATTGAGTGCTGCTGTGAGTGTCCTACTCAGCAGCCTGCCTAGAGTCCAGTGAGTGTCCCTCACAGCAGCCTGTCCAGAGTCCAATGAGTGTCCCACACAGCAGCCTGCCCAGAGTCCAGTGAGTGTTCCACATAGCAGCCTGTCAAGAGTTCATTGAGTGCTGCTTGTGAGTGTCCTGCTCAGCAGCCTGTCTAGAGTTCAGTGAGTGTCCCTCACAGCAGGCTGTCCAGAGTCCAATGGGTGTCTCACACAGCAGCCTGCCAAGAGTCCAATGAGTGTCCCACACAGCGGCATAGGTACTTTTTAACATCGTTCTTTAGCGAAAATTTTATCCTTCGCTCGTCAGTGATATTTGACAGCAGATCGCACACTATTGAATCGAACATGTATTGCAGTAGTGCAGCTATGCAGTTCAGCAATGCGAAAAACATGCTTTTTCTGCTATAGATATTAACCAGCCTTGCGTTGTTGGCCCAAGTATAGTTCGGTGTAAAAAGAGGGCTATCAGCTGCCGCAATTCCTACGAAACAGGATGTTAAGGTGATTTGAAAGGAGCCGTTACTGACGTGGTATTCCCTACACCGCCAGGTTCGTGGCCGAGCGAGGCTGCTGGTCGAGCGTGGGCTGCATGGCCAGGTTCCAGGGCTCGCGCACGCAGAAGCTCAGCATTGGCAACGGCTGCGGCGGTCTGGGTACTGTCACGCACGAGATCGGCCACTCGCTCGGCTTCTTCCACGAGCAGTCGCGCTCCGACCGCGACCGCTACGTCTCCATCCTCTGGGAGAACATCGAAGCGAGCGGCAAGAGCAACTTCGAAAGGGTGAGCACCACCGAGCACTACGGCGTACCGTACGACCTCTCCTCAGTCATGCACTACGGCAAACTCTTCTTCTCAAGGAACGGAAAGCCGACCATCCTCACACTGGACCCGACCAGGCAGGGCCTGATCGGACAGCGCGTGCAGCCGTCGTTCCGCGACGTCAGTCTCATGAACAGGTTGTACAAGTGTGAAGAGCTGTGCCCCAGGCGGCCGGCCTGCCAGAACGGCGGCTACGTGTCGGCTGACTGCAGGTGCCACTGCCCTCCGGGCACGTCGGGTGCCGACTGCGGCCGGGTCACGGGCTCCTACTACCCGGAGCCGACCTGCGGCGGCACGGTCACCACCGAGGGCGCCCTCACCACCCCGGGCTGGCCGGGCGTCTACCCGGCCGGCGCCGACTGCGTATGGTGGATCAAGCCGCCGGCCGGCCGCCGCGCGCAGGTCGCCTTCACCAAGTTTGACATCCTGTTCCGCGTCAGCAACGGCTGCCACTTCGAATACCTTGAGATCAAGGACGCCGGCGTCATGGGTGGGGCGGAGCAGTATTGCAGCACCGACCTGTCCCACCGGGCTCTGACAGCTCGCGGCCCCGACGGTGATATGGTGCTCCATTTCAAGGCCTACCGCAAACACTACGCCGGCACCGGCTTCTCCGCCGAGGTCAAGTTCGTGTGAAGGAGAACACCATCACAAGAAGTTTGACCGCTCAGATGGTCATGACTTGTAAATATGGCTTTTTGTGGCGTGGGCTGAGCTGATCATACCGTGCATCATTGCACGATTTTTAAGTGATTGCCAGGTGATTGTCAGGTAATCGTCAGGTGATTGTCAGGTCATATGATTGTCATTCACTGTGTGTTTCCTGCACATTGCCGGAGTGGCGTGGGTTGTAACTGTATGGGTTTTACTACGGAGGCATTTGAGTTCAACTGCATCGACAACTGCAATCCAATCTGCAGAGTAATATTTTAGAAATAGTGTTATTGACTGTGCACCATGGCTGTAACATCAGGATTCCTTTGGACTCTCATAAAATATCCAAGCTTCCAATTTAAGCAGCAAACATAACTGGCAACGGGTGCATTCGGGCTATGCTGCCTTTTAGTTGCGCGATTGAATAAAAAAGATAAACCAGTCTATTGAAGTCTGCTTTGACGAAGTGATTTTATAGTTAAGCTGTTCACCGAAGCGGGAAGTCTCTTGAGCAAAAACACTTTTATACATGATGCGAATAACGAACCTGGAAATGAAAAAGCTGTGTCTGTCCATGGTATGTGATATAGCATGCGTAGTGGGTCTCGACGAGACGCCTAACTGTCTGCATACCTTGCATTGCCGATTAACTCTGCAACTCTATCGACAAAAGTCAAAGAGGAAAGGCTAACGCCAGCAGCTGGTAGCACACACCTGTGCCGTGCCGCCATCTTGTCCCGCCCGCCGCGTGCGCTCGTCAACCAACCGGCCAAAAGAGTGTCGACTGAAACGACTTGGCACTTCACGCAGTCGCTACAACGTGTCAACACTCGTATATCAATAGACGATCATAAATATATTCACAAAGTTTAAACTATCGGGATAGAAACGTTGAATTCCAGCGCAGTGCTCTGATACATCCTGTTATCGTTACTTTAGTGACGACCTCTTTCAACCAGAATACCCGGGAATCTCTCTATAGTTCTGGATTGTGGCAGGGAGATCCTCAGCTCCCTTTTCTTCGTCATCATTTTCTGCATCGTATTCAACATCGTCCGTCCCGCTCCTACGTTCGTGTTGTGCAAGGCAATAGAAATAATGACACCGTGTTGGTGTCATCTCTGTTGTCGTTGTCGTTGGCGGCGTCCTACCGCCGACACCGCTGCTGGCGGACGGTTTTATGACTGTGACTGGCTGTGATCGTGCTGTGGATGGAACATCCACATGATCCGCATCCACTAACATCCGTCACACCTGATACTAGTAGATGATTGATGTAGGCCTCGTGCGCTGAAGCACGTTGGCTCCCCCGCTGTAGTGACCGTTTCAAGGTACTGCTTATGACGCCTACGATCTTGGAAACTTTGAACAGAGGTCGTCCCAGGCTGGGCATCTGGGCTGCCATTGTGCCCTTTTGAAGCGCTCTGTGGATGCATTCCGAACGGCACGCACGTTTGTACTAGTCTCAGCTTGCTTACAACCCTATATCGAACATGAAAATTGCTAACGGCGGTGACCGGATGACACAATCAGTGTGTTTACAATTTGCGCTCCGACGGTGTCCGCGAGAAAAAAGCAGCTCGCAGTTTACGAAATGCCCTTTGATCGGCTGTTCTACGATATTTCCAACTGGCGACATGCAAGAAAGTCAACGAGCCAAAAAGTGGCATCGGCTGACTGATAAACTGCAAAACGACGACGTAGCACAACGTTGGTTGGTAAATTATATGCATATATACATATACATATATATATATATATGTGTGTATATATATATATATATATATACATATATATATATATATATATATATATATATATATATATATATATATATACATCATGCTGCAATTTATTCGAGTAAGACCCTTGTATGTTTACCTTTTAGTCGATCGACATTTTGGCGTGTCAATGTTCTGGTTCGTCGTCAGCATGCACTTCCCATTCAGCCGGCGCGACCTTTTGGCTCGTTGACTGTCTTCCACGTCGTCAACTGGAGATATCATAAAGCAGTCGACCAAAAGGCATTCCGTAAACTGCGAGTTGATTTTTGAAGCGCAATCCACTAACGGACTGATTGTGTCGTTCGGTCCCTGCGCTTTACAATTTTTATGTGCAATGGAGAGTTGTAGGGGAACCAAGACCAGCACAGTCGTGCGTGTGCGATGGAGAGTTGAAGGGGAGCTGAGACCAGCACAGTCGTGCATGTGCGATGGAGAGTTGAAGGGGAGCTGAGACCAGCACAGTTGTGCATGTGCCATGGAGAGTTGAGGGGGAGCCGAGACCAGCACAGTCGTGCATGTGCGATGGAGATTTGAAGGGGAGCTGAGACCAGCACAGTCGTGCATGTGCGGTGGAGAGTTGAAGGGGAACTGAGACCAGCACAGTCGTGCATGTGCGATGGAGAGTTGTAGAGGAGCCGAGACCAGCACAGTCGTGCATGTGCGATGGAGAGTTGTAGAGGAGCCGAGACCAGCACAGTCGTGCATGTGCGATGGAGAGTTGTAGGGGAGCCGAGACCAGCACAGTCGTGCATGTGCGATGAAGAGTTGTAGGGGAGCTGAGACCAGCACAGTCGTGCAGTGTGCGATGGAGAGTTGAAGAGGAGCCGAGACCAGCACAGTCGTGCATGTGCGATGGAGAGTTGAAGGGGAGCCGAGACCAGCACAGTCGTGCATGCCGTTTGAGAGGCGCCCGCAGAGCGTCTCAGATGAGCACAATGACAGCCCAGATCTCTGCATGCGACGACCTGCGTTCTCAGCGATCCCAAGGTCGCAGGCAACATAAGCAGTAGGTTGAAACGGCCACTGTAGCGGGGAAGCTAACGTGCTTCCACGCACGAGGCCAGCATCAAGTATCCACTTGCGTCTGTGCTGGTTGTAGATTTTGGATCACATTCAGTCACAGCCATAAGACCTGCCGCCAGCAGCGGTGTCAGTTACAGGCCAAAAAAGTCAAAAAACAAGAGACGAAAGGGCAAAAGACAAAAAGTCAATGAGTCAATGATGAAAAAGTTAATGAGTCAGTGTCAGCCAAAACGTCAATGATGCCCGCCCCGCCCATCCAGTTGGAATAAGTCATCTATTGAGTCTGCGACCGCGCGAAAGCAGCACAGGCCGGGCCCAGCTTTGGATCGTAAAAGGCCATATCGCGTGAAGGTTAGTGTAGGGGCGTCGTTTCTGAAAATGGCCCAATCTACCACAAAATATGTGAACAAGCAGTTTTCTCCGCAGATTTGGCCCACCTTCATACCAAAGTTTGGGTTCGGGTTGGGATCAAATTAACCCGTCCAAAGGTTTTTCAGAACAATTTTCGAACGGTACGGCGTAGTCGCGCCAAACTTGCCTAGCTGTAGAACACTGAATAGTAGATCTTTAGACTGAAGGAATCAGATGCACCTTGTAAGGTCGCTGACCAATATCAGGCTTAAGTCAGACCATGGTCGTGAGGGAAGGGCATTTCTAGGGAACCGTTCAATGTGATGTAACAAAGGAGTCAATGCATGCATATCTGAAATAGTTTCGTAGGGAATAAATTAACTGAATTTAGGAATGCAATCGATCCCATTGACCTGGGGTCAGGTATAAAGGCCAGATCGACACCAAAACTAACCTGCTTTTTACTCGAGACCTTGGTTTTATAGGGTATTTTTCTGGTGCGCGCTTCGGCTTTATTAATGACAGGGAACGCAGTGGACATGCTCCATGAACTTTTTAGAGGTCAGCGCAGACTATTGACCTAAAATGACTCAGGTCAACATTATGTTCTTAGGAACCTACCGCCTAACGTAACTTCTAACGATTCTTTGAGTGAAGAAATGGGGGCAATCTCTTATGTTACCTTTTGGTTTTTGAGCGGTTACCTTGACTTGACCTGACGTCAAAAAAGTCGCTGACCTCACTGACCATTTTCTTGCAACAGCTATATTGCTTTACGGTGGATGCACAAGGAGTTCTGGTGGTCTTTTGGATACAAATCTGGAATTTTACCTTGTTTGACCTTATTTGACCCCAAGGTTGTAACCTAGGAACCTCGACTTTCGACTCAAATGAGTTCACGTACAGGTCAATCTACTCTGTAAATTTGGTGTCTCTAGCTATCTTGATTTTTAGCATCTTAGACGGGTCAAAATGACCCCCACCCGAGCTACAGGTATGCAGCCGGCCATCCGGGCGAATGTTAACACGCGCCGCGGTGGCTGCTCGGATGCCCTTCTCTCGGGTGAGGTAAATTTGATCCCATCCGAGCGCGTGTCAATTCACAATGATTTGTCACGATGGCATAATATAAATACCTGTTACCTGAAATATTAAGAAATGCCTGTTTGTTTGTCTGCTGTAGATCCCCTCAACCATAGAAAACCATGGTCATAAAAGAAAATTTCTCCGCAAGCGGTACCACGGATCTTGAGCCGGGAAAGAGCTTTTCAGTTGGCTGCGGGCCCTCCAAACAAAATGGTGCCCCCTCCAAAGGAATCTCCTGGGCGAGGTTATTTAATGTGTCTCCTGAGCTTCGGCGTGAAGAAGGCAAGGGAACTTGTACAACACCTTTATCACCATTTTCTATTTTAATTGCTCAAAAATGTACCGTTCTTCCCTAATTTGGGGGAAACTATATCACGTTCTTCACATATTTAGGGTTTTGGGAAGACAAAGGTAACCGCATTTGTTGGGTCACTGAAACCAATTAAAGAAAGAAAACGCAACTAGTTATAGACATAATGTGCCTTCTAAAATTTCTAAACGTTACCTTATTGCTTGTTATGCAGTCATTTTTGTAACTGAACAGGTTTAGATAATGAAAAGCAACAGCTGCGGTTAACAGTGTTCGGCTGGTAATAGCTACTATGCAGACTTACTTTTGTCGTCGTCTGATAAGGTTGATAATCTCTGATAAGATTTAAGTCGTCTGACAAGGCTATACATTTTTCGCACTTGGTTAAGTCGTCTGATAAGGCTATACATTTTTCGCACTTGGTTAAGTCGTCTGATAAGGCTATACATTTTTCGCATTAGCTACGTGGTTTTCCATGGTTTCTGTAAGCAGACATATTTAGTGTAAAAATCTTGGTCAAATTCACGACTTGATGTAGAAAAAGTTCCATAAACACGAATTTCGATCTACTAGCTCAATTATAGGGGCGGGTCACTGCGCTCTTGCACACAAGTCTCGTGCCTGTGCAGAGGCAATTGAGTGCCCTGGATTTGACCTGAAAGTGCCCCGTCCAACGGCCGAGGGTTTTTTAGCTTCTCTGTTTCAGGACTCCTAGACACCTCTTTCATTGTGACTTGGATGTCTTATATTCGTTGTTTCCTCTTTTTACATCCAAGTGGGAAAGGCCACAAGGGAATTAGGGGACAAATGAGAAATATCTTATTCACACACTCTCTATCCAACTTGGCTTCTACCCCCGTAGCACTTTACAGTTGACTTTTATGTTTAGAATTGCTGCATTCGAGTCTTGCCGTTTAGGCTGTTTGTCATTTGTCTTCTAGTCCTTATGACTTCTTGGCTTTTTCCTTTTTCGCATTTGACTTTTATCCTGTTCGACTTCTTGCCATTTGACTTGAGTTCACTTGACTTTTTGTCCTTCGATTTCTTGGCTTTTCAATTTTTGTCCGGTTACCGGCGGTGTCAAGGTCGAAGCCCGGGTGTCGGGGTGACAGGGGGTATGAGGGTCTCCCTGTCACAATCCAGAACTATGGAGAGATTTCTGGGTATTATGGCGTAAAAAAGGTCGTCACTAAAATGACGCTAACAGAATGCACCAGGACATTGTGCTGGAATCCAAGGTTTCCATTCCGGTTGTTTAAACTTTGTTAATATATTGATATTCGCCTATTGATATACGCGCGTGGGCACATGATAACGATTGTGTGATGAACCTAGTCGTTTCAGTTGATACGTTTTTGGGCAGTTGGTTGTCGACCACACGAGGCGGGTGGGGCAAGATGGCGGCACAGCACCAGTGTGTGCTACTGGCTGCTGGCGTAAGCCTTTCCTCTTTGACGCCTGTTTTTTTAAAGATTTGATCCGAACCCTTTAAATGGATGGATTTCCGGAATCAGAGCTCACGCTAAGCAGTGCTTGTTGTATGAGCCCTGACCCCTACCATCCGATCGCGCAATTCCATGTCAACGGCAGATTTTGGTGGCGAAAGTTTAACGTGCCGCAATGCTCGGCACGGTCCGTCCTGCCCTCTGACATCAACTGACCTTTAGCGCGACCGCTGCCATCGGCCGCAGGCCATACCCGTCAAGGGCAAATAGCGAGCGCCCTAAAGCGACTCAAACCCACCCGCTACGGGTGGGTGCATCGGAAGACAGGCGCTCTAACCAACTGAGCCACCGGGATGGACAGAGCTGCGGAGTTGTTGATAGAGTTGCGGAGTTGTTGATATTGATGTGTTGATAGAGTTGCGAAGTTAATAGGCATTACAATGTTTGCAGACATTTAGACTGTCGTCGAGACTCACTACGTATGCCATATCACGTACTCTGGTCAGGCACAACTTTTCCACTCCCAAGTTCGTCATTGGCAACGTGTATAAAGCTGTTGTATGCTGAAGAGGCTTCCCGCGTCGGTGAACGGCTAACTGTGAAATTGGCTCGTCAAAGCCGACTTCAGTAGACTGTTTTATCATTTTCGCTCTATCAAAAGACTGAAAAGTGACACTGCCAACCAAGTTCCTAAACAAAACAGCATAGGCTTGAACCTTTGATAACGTATTCGAGTGAAAAATCATCCCACGGTTACAAGGATTGTACGCTATTAATAGCACCTTAACTAAAATTTATCTCTGCAGGTTAGATCACAATTCTCAATGTATTTGAATTCAGTTGCCTCCGTAGGGAAACCACACAGTCACAGCCCACCCAAGTATAAGATGTGCTACTCTATGACAAGGCCCTACTTCTGCATCTAAGTGGAGTTGCTAGGAAATCGAAGCGGTCGGCACCAAATCGATTTTGTCGAACATGCGAACATCCAAATCTCATACCCGCTTAACCGACGTAGAAAAGCAGACTACAGTATACTGGTTTATTCATGTTATCGCGCAACTAGAAGGCGACATAGTTCAAACAAATGTGCTAAAACAATCTGGGCCAAAGACTATGATCCATCGTGCGAATACAAAATGTCCCTGATGCAAAACGATAGGACGTAGCGCTTCAGATTGGCCTGGTACCATGGAATTAAAAGTAAACGCTACGCATTGGATCAAAGCTGTTAATGCATTGGTGTGGAAATGCCTGCGTAGCAAACACTCAGTTACACTCGCGTCCCCCCGACCATGTGCTTAACACGAACAGTCGAGATAAACCTGGTGATCTTAGAAAAAGCCCTAATACCCTTCCCACCTTCCCCAAAAACGGGTCATATTTACATGCTTTGACCACATGAGAAGACCACCTCCATGCAATGGGATTTCCCTTCACACGAACTTGACCTCGGCGGAGAAGCCGGTGCCGGCGTAGTGTTTGCGGTAGGCCTTGAAATGGAGCACCATGTCACCGTCGGGGCCGCGCGCCTCCAGATTCTTGTTGGCCAGGTCAGTGCCGCAATACTGCTCCGCCTCACCCATGACGCCGGCGTTCCGGACCTCAAGGTACTCAAAGTAGCAGCCGTTGCTGACGCGGAACAGGATGTCAAACTTGGTGAAGGCGACCTGCGCGCGGCGGCCGGCCGGCGGCTTGATCCACCACACACAGTCGACGCCGGCCGGGTAGACGCCCGGCCAGCCGGGGCTGGTGAGGGCGCCTTCGGTGGTGACCGTGCCGCCGCAGGTCGGCTCCGGGTAGTAGGAGCCCGTGACCTTGCCGCAATCGGCGCCTGACGTGCCCGGAGGGCAGTGGCACCTGCAGTCAGCCGACACGTAGCCGCCGTTGTGGCAGGCCGGCCGCCTAGGGCACAGCTCTTCACACTTGTACAACCTGTTCATGAGACTGACGTCGCGGAACGACGGCTGCACGCGCTGTCCGATCAGGCCCTGCCTGGTCGGGTCCAGTGTGAGGATGGTCGGCTTTCCGTTCCTTGAGAAGAAGAGTTTGCCGTAGTGCATGACTGAGGAGAGGTCGTACGGTACGCCGTAGTGCTCGGTGGTGCTCACCCTTTCGAAGTTGCTTTTGCCGCTCGCTTCGATGTTCTCCCAGAGGATGGAGACGTAGCGGTCGCGGTCGGAGCGCGACTGCTCGTGGAAGAAGCCGAGTGAGTGGCCGATCTCGTGCGTCACAGTACCCAGACCGTTGCAGCCGTTTCCAATGCTAAGCTTCTGCGTGCGCGAGCTCTGGAACCTGGCCATGCAGCCCACGCTCGACCAGCAGCCTCGCTCGGCCACGAACCTGAAAGGATAGGGAATATCACGTCAGTAACGGCTGCTTTCAAATCACCCGAACATCCTGTTTTGTGGGAGTTGCGGCAGCTGGTAGTCATCTTTTTACACCGAACTATACTTGAGCCAAAAGCGCAAGGTTGTTTAATATTCTTGATTGATAATATGCATGTTTGATTCAGGCGTGCTTGCTTGTGCGAAGTATTTTTCAGTTTTCCCCGAAATACCCATAATTAAAACCATCTTTAAGAAACATCTTAAACGGCAAGCATTTGAAAATATACGGAGAAAATTTGTCAAATTTTCCAATTTGCTGTGATGTTTTATGCTGTTGCTAATGACATTTTGAATAAAACTTGCTCCCATAAAGAGAGCTGCCACCATTTAAGCTGCATTGTGTAGTTAGTACATATTAAAGCGAGCGTGTTCGTACATACGTGTGTGCGTCCGTGTGTATTCGTGTGTATGGTTGCGTTCATTTACGTATGCGTCTGTGGGGTCCTGGTGTGTGCACGGTATATTTTTGTTCATCCCATTCACACTAGTCTGCCCTGAGACTTGGGTAACCGTTAGTAGCATCGCTGGTTGCTGGCATGAATCGCAAATTCCAGTGGTGCGCTGTTCAGCTTTTGAAATGCTGGCAGTTCACTGGCGAACTAGCTTTGGCGATGGCATTCACAAGTCTGTCAGTCGTCATTCATGACACTTACTACTATTATGTTTTAGTTCTATACGATCACTATTAACCATGTTCAGCTCTTCCACCCTGGAAGATACTAACAGACGTCTTTGTATAGCAGAGAATGATGGCTTTGCAGCTTTGAGTTCATGATATTATTGCTAATGATCTTTGCTGCGGCTGTACGGGGCTGACCCTTCTGGCTATCTATTGATGGGCGACTACATTGATAAAAAACGTGCTTGCTGGATCTGTGTGGCGTGATCTTTAAAAGGATATGAGGCCGCAGCAGGGATGAGGCGCGCAGAGTAAAGAATCATCGCAACTGCCAACGTCAAAGTCGTTACCTAAGCAAGATGGACGGTTGCTCAGGGTGGATCTGCGGAATACAATGCTTCCTGCAAATCCGGAATAGACACCGGCTTTGTAAATTTTATTTTATGATATGCTTGCTTTTTTACTGCAGGTTGAGAGACCACGCCCTTCTGGTCACCTATTCATAGGCGATTCCGTGGCCCAGACTGTTCGTAGCCTAGACTGTTTGCAGCAGTTGACAGTGGTGTCATTGGTCTCAGAAAGCGAATGATTGCTCACTGTGGATCCACCAAACATAAGATTCCATGCAGTTCCAGCGTAGACCGTCGTGTCAAGCAATCGCTGGACTCTGAACGGCCCGCCATGTGGAGCACTCACTGGATGCTTAGCAGGTCACTGTGTGAGACACCCACTGGACAATCGGCAGACTGCCGCGTGGGACGCTCACTGGACTCTAGGCAGACTGCTATGTAGAGCACTTACTCGACTCTGGGCAGGCCACTGTGTGGAACACTCACTGGACTCGGGGCAGGCCACTGCCAGGCGACACCTCCCGGAAGTCAATGCACGTGTTTTCTCTCCAGAACTGGATGCCGGCTTCGATGAAGGCGCGCTCGTTCTCGGCCACGATCTCGTAGTTATAACGCCTGTCGTCCCACAGCTGGCCGCTGGAGATGGCCTTGCGGTCCTCCCCGGGCAGCCTCAAGATGTCCCCCTCCACCAGACGGCCGTATGCCGTCACGGAAGGGTTTGTCTCGTGGAAGTCACGGGTATCAGGTTCGTACAGGTGCACCGTGCTTGTCCCGTTCAGAATCAATATGCCATCGTGCGGCTGAAAGAGGAGAGGGGGGGGGGGGGGGGTGGAAATGGTGAGCTGCATGTGACACATGCAGCACTAGACCTGTTCTCTGCGAACAAAACGTATTCACTTGTTGCAAGTAATTGAGATTTATCAGCGACAAAGGATGGACTTTATCGATACGAGAGAATTAACACGTATGGAAGAATATCAATCCACTCACCATAGCTGCCACGGCACACATGAGGAGAGGAAGACGCGTCCACATTTCTGGGTTCCGTGCAAAAGCCTCGATAGTCGGCTGGTTTGTGGATGCCCTGAGTAGGGAGCAAGCATCTTATATACCCCACGGGATCAGCGGCCGACCCAGATAGCACAGCCGTACCACCTGGGGTATTGTGTGCCCTGCTCAAGGGTCATCAGCACGAGATGGGGTCAGGCGCGTTTACATCACCTGACCCGAATCCTGTGAGGTCATGTCAGTGGGAAGCAGAAGCACACTTGTCCAGTGGATGCCTGGGTCAACGAACGCGACATGGCCAACCGAGCGGCCACTGATGAGGCTGTGGCACGGAGCTGACTTCAAGCTCCTTCAAGGACCGTGTGGTAACTAGGAGTCACTTCATCAAAAATGCTCCGGAAAACTATAAGTCTGGAGGCACATGCTTCATGAGTTGTTCCATTTGGCTGACGTGCATGTGTGTGCGACGATCGTAAGTGAAAGTGTAAGGAAGGCCAGAATATGTCGCTGGTAACCGGCGGTGTGTTCTGGAGATGCGCCACCCGGATGCGACCACTTACCTCTGCAGAACGTTAGAAGGCTCTGGGCCATGCTTGTTACTTGCGACACAAAATGGACATCCACACCCAGGGGCGGATCTCGGATTTCGTCAAGAGGGGGGGGGGAGCACGCAGCGTTTTGCGGCCTTAAGAGGTTGGCCCCCCCCTCCAAAAACATCCTCGCATTCCGGTCATTTCATTTTAAAATGGATAGCACATAGGATATATATATATATATATATATATATATATATATATATGTGTGTGTGTGTGTGTGTGTGTGTGTGTGTGTGTGTGTGTGTGTGTGTGTGTGTGTGTGTGTGTGTGTGTGTGTGTGTGTGTGTGTGTGTGTGTGTGTGTGTGTGTGTGTGTGTGTGTATAGAAAATATGGGAGCACATCTTACTGTGCTAAAGCTGGGTCTGTTATGCATGTACATACATGGATCTCATTCATTCTCTCCAGATCACGTTAAATCCTGTGATTATGAGGCTAATTGTTCCGGGAAAAACAGGCAAAATGAACTCAAGTTGACTGCTAAATCCATCAAAACGAGCTGGGCGGGCAGGCTGCGCGATGTAATCAGATGATAACTGATAATCAATGCATAATTTTGTATTTGTTATAAACGAGTACAAAATATTCCAGCATTCAAAGCATGTTAAGAACACGATGCACGAGTTTGATGTCACACACTCAATCGCCGAGGGAAATTGGCGCATGGCGTCGGAGGCACATAAAATTACCTTCAACAGATGCACGGAAAACTGAATCGGCGCATGTACGACTGCTGCTCTGAGGCTAAGGCGCCAAAGCTCACAGGGACGGAAGCAGACCGATCATGGGTGCCCTGCGAGGCCGATAAAGAGGCTCCCGTCAACAAGTATATCCTCGGGGCAAGTGAAAAGAATCCAAGACCGACGTGGTGGCCCCAAAACGATCGGTAGGCTGACGCACAGGGCCCCAGCCAGAGCACATAACCCTCTGAGCTAAGGGGAATCATGCAGGACCATGAATTGATACCCCTGTGCGGTCAAAAGTGCCCGGGCAGGTTAGCAAAAAGAGCCCGATAGAAGTGAAAAGTCCTCCGCAAATGAGATCAAAGGGAAGGAGCCCTCGATCAAAGAAGAGGGACTTTGAGCAAATCCAGTCACAGCACAAAGCCCTCAGAGCAAATGGAAGGAACCCATGACTATTATAAAGGGCTCCTGAGCAGCTGAGTGTACGCTGACACGTGGGGCCCCGGAAAGGGCGTGTCGAGTTTTTTTCAGGCGAATGGGAAGAATCGATCCCTGATCCATCAAGGGTACCCAGGCGTGTAAGCAGATAGTGTCCCAACAACAGCGTTAAGATCATGTACGGAAAATGGAAAAAATGTTAAGAGATCAAGGGTAACGTGGACAGCTCCTTGGCAATCAGATTGACCGGGCAAGTAGACATATGTGGCCTGGGCAACAGCGTAAGGCCTCTGAAAAGCATAATGAGCCCCACAATTTCCTCAATCACCACCCTTTCAATCAGTAAAATTTTGATTTGCGTGCTTATAAGCTCTTTACCTTCGTTTGAAACCGTTCTATGTCGTCTGTAGTTCCAAGCACATCCAGTTTTGTCGTGTTTTTTATTAGAAAACTGTGCCCGTTCAGCAGGTTATCGGTCACTTCGAAACCTATGAGTCACCTCTGCATGGTCCATGGGGCATGGTCCGATGCTCCTCCCCCCCCCTCCCCCCCCGTCTGTACCCGCCAATGGCCCGAGCAGCTTAATAGATAGGGCTCGCCAAGAACATAGGGCCATCTTTTCAAGTAAGAAGCACTCAAGACAACATGGAGGGCACCGTGGTGATCGACTGCGCCAGAACAGGTTAACAGATAGGGCCCTACCAAGGGCGTAGGGCCCTCCGTTCGGGCCCCTGGATAACAGAGTAGGGCCTTCCAAATATAAAATACCCACGACACGATATAGAAGGCCCCGAATGATCGAGTGCGCCAGAGCGAGTTAACAGATAGGGCGCCCGTCAAGAGCGAAGGACCCTTCATTGAAATAGAAGGCACCCAGGACCCGATGTAGAGGTTCCCCGAATGATCCAATGTGTCCGAGCAGCTTATCAGAAGGGGCCCCGACAAGAGCGTAGGGCCCCCATTCAAATAAGAAGTACGCAAGGCCCAGTGTGCAGAGCCCCCGAAAGATTAAGTGCACCCGAGCAGGTTATGAGATGGCCCGACAGGAGTGTAAGGCTCTAAATTCAAACACCAAGGCCCAATGTGCAGGGCCCCCGAACAATCCAGTGTCGCCGAGGTTAACAGAGGTGCCCCGACAAGCCTATAGGGCCCTCCATTAAAAAAGGAAGCACCCAAGCAAGACCCAATGAAGAGGGCCACCGGACAACCAAACATGTCCCAACAGATTATCAAATAGGCCCCGACAAGAGCGTAGGGCCCCCCATTCAAATAAAAAGTACGTATCGAGGAGGAGGTATCAGGAGGATACCTCCTGTTATCGAGGTATCAGGAGGAACGTATCGTTTGATTTTCAGTTCATCCACCAATGTGAAAACTTCCCCTCTACAGCTACTAACGTTCCGAAAGTGCGATGGATTGCGTGCATCCATTGTTAGGCAATGGACACAAGTCATAAATACGTGTAACCAGAGAAGTCAAAAATTAAACCAACATAATGCGTTTGTGCCAGAAACGTTCTGTAATCGTGGCCGAGCGATTACTGAAGTGAATATATGCATTCTAAATTCACGGTTCGAATTCATAAGCCTATGCTTATCAACAGCTTCCCAACTTTCCAACCTGGTTTTGTTTTGTTCCAGCCCGGAGTCCATTAGTTGGTTAGACACTCCTCGCAGAAATCCGGCTAGCCGGTGAGTCAAAAACCATCCCAAGGACATCTGAACTCAGCTTGATTCCGTAAAGACATAATGGTCTCGTTTCGATTGATATTTTCTGCAGAAAGCGCCTGACCCAAGAAAAAAGAGATTTAGTTGAATTGATTCTCACTGAAAGCAGAAATTCCGAATAAATCCAAGGAATACATTCCGGTCAGCTGGAAGTTCAAAGCACGGTGCAAATGCGCTTCACACGCGCCCGGGCGGCCGGCTGGACACCGTTCGCTCCGGTGGGGCTCAATTTGACCCGCCCTGAGATCTCGGAAACTAAAGAGCTCGAGACACCACATTTACAGGGTGTGTTGGCCTGTACGGGAACTCCTTTAGGTCGCAGTTTCAGGTTCCTATATCATGATCTTCGGGTTAAGTGAGGTCATGCAAGGTCAAATTCCAGATTGGTCTCCAAAGTGCCCGCAGAATCTAGATAACCACTTCGAAGCAAAAGGTCACATGCTCATTTAAGGTACGTAACCTTGTTCGACCTTTTGAAGGTCATGGTGACCAAAATCATACAAGCTGCTCTGCGTTTTGCATTTGAATAAGCGACAAAGATTACGCTAGGCAGTATGTTCCGAAAAGCAAAATTTTTACCTGGGTTATTTTAGGTAAATGACCTATTTGGACCTCTGAGAAGCCCATGGAAGATGTATAATAGGGTTTCTGCCATCAACAAATTCCAAATGAGCACCAGAGACTACCCCATACAGCAAGCCCTAGAGTAATAAAAAAGGTTGGTTTTGACCTTGATGTAACCTTCATACGTGACCTTAGGTCGATGTAGTCTGCTCGTTCAACTGCTGTGTTGCCTAAGACAGCATCTCAGAGATGTATGGCCTCGTCTAACACTCCGTTGTTGCATCAGATTGAACGATTCCTTAGAAATTGCCTTCGCTGAAACCATGGCCTGACTTTGACCTGCCATAGGTCAGCAACCTTACAAGGTACGTTTAAATCTTTGATGCCAAACAATCCGTTATTCACTCATCTGCAGCTATGCAAAATGTGGCGAGGCATAGCTGCGCCATTCGGAAACTATTCTGGATAAACGTTTGGGGGGTCAATTTGACCCCAACCCGAGCGCATGTTAAAGAGGAACTAAGAAGCTGTTTTCACGATGCATAAATACACTAAAAGTTTTTAAATATTTATTTAAAAGTTGTTCTACTAATTGTTGGTATGCATTAAACGCTCTCAGAAGGAAACCATTGTTGTCATCCAATTGCTTGAAAATGCGATAGGCGGCCTGGGTGTATCTAACCAAGAAAAATGAGTTATGCTAGGTGAGATCCGTTATAGACATTCCTACAGTTCATGCCTTAAGTCCACCCGATCTCCATTTTAGTCCAACAAGCATGCATGCCAGTCATTCAAATGGAGGAAATTGTGAAGCGTATACCACAAAACTGTCCACCCTCCGTGCTCCTTTTGACAAAGTGAGCCCACTGGCACGTCTTCGGAGTTGCTCAAAGCCAGGCCAGTGCCATAGCCATATCAGTGACCGCTCGGTTAGCCACGTCGCGTTCGTTGACCCAGGCATCCACTGGGCAAGTATGCTTCTGCTTCCCACTGACGTGACCTCACAGGATTCGGGTCAGGTGATGTAAACGCGCCTGCCCCCATCTCGTGCTAATGACCCTTGAGCAGGGCACTCAATACCCCAGGTGGTACGGCTGTGCTATCTGGGTCGGCCGCTGATCCCGTGGCGTATATAAGATGCTTGCTTCCTACTCAGGGCATCCAACACACCCACCAATCATCTGGGCTTTCGCACAGAACACAGAAATGTGGACGCGTCTTCCTTTCCTCATGTGTGCTGTGGCGGCTATGGTGAGTGCATTTTGTCCTGCCATGTATGTATGCGTCTGACGTCACCGACGGTGTATAAGAAAAACTTGCATCAACGTCAAATTTCAACTTATGACGACAAAACAAAGCTTCGTAGAACACAGGTCCCGGGCTGGTACATGCTAAACTGGGGACAAAATTAGTGAGCCGCTCGCCATCGTCAAACTCCCCCCCCCCCCCCCCCTCCTCTTTCAGCCGCACGATGGCATACTGATTCTGAACGGACAAGCACGGTGCACCTGTACGAACCTGATACCCGTGACTTCCACGAGACAAACCCTTCCGTGACGGCATACGGCCGTCTGGTGGAGGGGGACATCTTGAGGTTGCCCGAGGAGGACCGCAAGGCCATCTCCAGCGGCCAGCTGTGGGACGACAGGCGTTATAACTACGAGATCGTGGCCGAGGACAAGCGCGACTTCATCGAGGCTGGAATTCAGTTCTGGAAGGAAAACTCGTGCATCGACTTCAAGGAAGTGTCATCTGACAGCAGCCTGCCCCGAGTCCAGTGAGTGTTCCACACAGCAGCCTGTCCCGAGTCCAGTGAGTGTTCCACACAGCAGCCTGTCCCGAGTCCAGTGAGTGTTCCACACAGCAGCCTGTCCCGAGTCCAGTGAGTGTTCCACACAGCAGCCCGTCCCGAGTCCAGTGAGTGTCCCACACAGCAGCCTGCCCCGAGCCCAGTGAGTGTTCCACACAGCAGCCTGCCATAGTCTGGTGAGTGCCCCATACAGCAGCCTCCCATAGTCTGGTGAGTGCCCCACACAGCAGTCTCCCATAGTCTGGTGAGTGTTCCACACAGCAGCCTGCCCCGAGTCCAGTGAGTGCCCCACACAGCAGCCTCCCATAGTCTGGTGAGTGCCCCACACAGCAGCCTCCCATAGTCTGGTGAGTGCCCCACACAGCAGCCTCCCATAGTCTGGTGAGTGCCCCACACAGCAGCCTCCCATAGTCTGGTGAGTGCCCCACACAGCAGTCTCCCATAGTCCAGTGAGTGCCCCACACAGCAGCCTCCCGTAGTCCAGTGAGTGCCCCACACAGCTCCTGCCATAGTCCAGTGAGTGTCCCACCTAACGGCCTGCCCAGAGCCCAGTGAGTATCCCACATAGCGGCCTGTCCAGAGTCCAGTGAGTGTACCACACAGCGACCTGCCGATGGTCTTGTGGGTGTCCCAGGCCCAGTAAGTGTGCATTTCTATACAGTTGGGCACTGCATACGTTCGGTGAAAATAAATAGCTTTCAAAAGGAGCAACTGATTGTTAACAGAGTGCCAAGACCACTCCATACAGCACAAACTGGTACGATATTCTCCATTCCATCAGGTTCGTAGCTGAGAAGGGCTGCTGGTCGAACGTGGGCTGCGTGGCCAAGGCCCAGGGCTCGCGCACGCAGAAGCTCAGCATTGGCAGCGGCTGCAGCGGTCTGGGTACTGTGACCCACGAGATCGGTCACTCGCTCGGCTTCTTCCACGAGCAGTCGCGCTCCGACCGCGACCGCTACGTCTCCATCCTCTGGGAGAACATCGAAGCGAGTGGCAAGAGCAACTTCGAAAGGGTAACCACTACCGAGCACCATGGCGTGCCGTACGATCTCTCCTCCGTCATGCACTACGGCAAACACTTCTTCTCGAGCAACGGGAAACCGACCATCCTCACACTGGACCCGACCAGGCAGGGCCTGATCGGACAGCGCGTGCAGCCGTCGTTCCGCGACGTCAGTCTCATGAACAGGTTGTACAAGTGTGAAGAGCTGTGCCCTAGGCGGCCGGCCTGCCACAACGGCGGCTACGTGTCGGCTGACTGCAGGTGCCACTGCCCTCCGGGCACGTCGGGTGCCGACTGCGGCCGGGTCACGGGCTCCTACTACCCGGAGCCGACCTGCGGCGGCACGGTCACCACCGAAGGCGCCCTCACCAGCCCCGGCTGGCCGGGCGTCTACCCGGCCGGCGCCGACTGCGTATGGTGGATCAAGCCGCCGGCCGGCCGCCGCGCGCAGGTCGCCTTCACCAAGTTCGACATTCTGTATCGCGTTAACGAAGATGGCTGTTACTTTGAACATCTTGATGTCAAGAACACTGGCATCATGGGTGAAGCGGAGAGGTATTGCGGCACCGACTTGGCCAACAAGAATCTGGAGGCGCGCGGCCCCGATGGTGACATGGTGCTCCATTTCAAGGCCTACCGCAAACACTACGCCGGCACTGGCTTCGCCGCCGAGGTCAAGTTTGTGTGAAAGAAAATACCATCGCACGGAGGTGGTCTTCTCTGGTGGTCAAGGCGTGTTAATGTGACCCGTTTCTGGGGACGGTGGGAGGAGTTCTAAGTTTGTTCCTCTAAAATCACCTGGTGTATTCGACTGTGTGTCCCGCACGTGGCCAGAGGGACGTGGGTTTAACTGTACGGGTTTGCTTGGCAGGCATCCCCATACAAATGCTTTGACAACTTTGATCCAATGTGTAGCGTTTATTTTGATTTCAGCGTGACAATCTGTAGCGTTCCGTCCCTTAGTTGTAGACTAGGGGCATTTTATACTCGGTTCATGGACCATAACCCTCAGCCTGGACCGTTTTTGGAACATTTCTTTTAGCTGTCATCTTCTAGTTGTGTAATGAAATGAATAAACCAGTTTATTGTTGTCTGCTTTACCACGTCTGTTAAGCTGCATGACATTCGAAAGTTTACATATTTGACAAAATTGATGAAGAACTGACCGCTTCGATTCCCTTGAAACTCAACTTCGATGTACAAGTGGGGCTTTGTCATAGAGTCGAACATGTAGTACTGGTTGTTTTATGCTCAAACTCTTGTGCCTTCTCATACTCTAACACACAAAATACCACTACTAATACTTTCCTGATACTTATACCAATACTTAACTGATGCTAGTACCAATACTTTACCAATACTCGCACTAATGCTGGTAGTTATCGATTACTGGGAATCCTGTCCGTCACCGGACTCCTTGTAAAGGTATTGTTTTTTGAAAGATTTGTTGCACACCAAAACACACCACTGTATATCATTTTTATGGAGCCAATGTACGATAATAGCATACCGACAACCTTTCACATCAGCTAGCATAATTTATCGATAAGTGCCGAGTCGCTGACCCTGCGATTTTCCTGACACTCTGATAGGATGTACTACTGAGGACATGTCGCATGCTGATAAAACCATAGGGTTGCTCATGTAATTTTTTGGTAGTTGTTGATCATCGGGCATCCCACCAGTAAAAAGGGACCCATGCAAATAACGTTAGTTTGAGAAAATAATTCGTGATAAGCCAAAAACATCGTCCCTTATACTATCTTTTCATCGAATCCAAGGTATGAAGATGGACATCGATAACATTGCACATTAACCCATGGAAGTTAATCAGTACTGATCCTTTAATTTTCTTGGAACTCGGATGTGATGACAACTGGATGTTATCATCTGCTGGTAAAATCAGAGTCACACACGAGGTTATCACTTCTCAAATCAGTTTGGGGGGGGGGTGATGTAACCTACCCAAAAACTCCCCGGAATTTGTTCACTATGATTTGCGTTTTTGATATCAAAGTTAAAAAAACAGCTATCGTTGTTTTTTCTCCAGACTTGTTTAGCACATCATAAATGACTTCGCATTCCAAGTCGATTTAGATATGAATTATTTGTGGCAAGCTTAGAATGGGGTATACTTAACAGAAAAAACACCTTAGCTAATGGACTCTCTGTGATAAACGGAAAAGGGTATTTTCTTTTATTAAAGGTTTTATTATATATTATAGGTTTGCTTGTATTATATATATATATATATATATATATATATATATATAAATGAAACTGAACTTCCATGGCCTTCTCAACAAGCATTCGATAACTAGGAGGACCAGGGAGGACGGAGCAGGTAAAGGCTGGTGGTTGGTCGGTTGCCAGTGTCCGCGTTAAAAATTAGCGCGACAGCCACTTTAACGTGTTGGAGGTGGATCAAAGCAAGAAAGACCTTGAACTCTTGGCGGTTCGGCGTTATACATTGGAAGTCTTCATGTTGAAGATTATGGACCTTCAGCACACCAGGGGGGAGCGAAATAATGGTGATAATTTTAAGCATCTAGTATATCAGCATTTCGAGGGAATTTTCTGCATTTCCTCGATCCAGCATTCACGTTATTGAGGGGGCTCAGAGGAGCACAGGAGGAGCTCAAGTCAGTTTTAGGAAGACGGGGTGCAGGGGGGGGGAGGGGGGGGGCAGGACTCCGGCCCCCCTGAGTATATAAAATCACACCACTGGTCACACATCTAACACTTAGTTATCGCTTTCCAAATCTCCGATTAAATAGCGCTTCACATACAACATTATTATTGACGTGATCCTTTCCCTACAGCATATTGTTAACGAAGCTGAAGCACAATGGCAGAATATCGATTAGCTCTCGCGTTTTTCACCGTCAGCCGTAATTAGGCAACTAGGAGAGCCCCATCCGCAGCCCAGCGACAACAGAACCATAAGTTAACACCGCAAACAACAAAGTGAACAAGTGACTGCACTCTCAGCTGATATCTCATCTCACTCTCAGCCTATGCAGGTCATACTACCACGGGACAAATCTAGTCATATTAATGCACTGGTCATGCCGGTCGTCTCTTGTAAGCCCAACCAATCAAGCGCACGCTTGTTGTTGGTCGTGGCCAGGACCTAGCGTCAAGTAATGGGTGTTGCGAAGATCTGTTGCAGACACCTTTAAGTGTGCACACAATTATGGATACATTTGCGTGTATGCATACATATGGAGTGTTTATTCTCACATTTATCAATGCTGGGAAGCATTTAGGGAAGCGTTGTAGTTGTAGGGAGAATTGGGACACTTTTGTAACTTAAACTTTGATGAGTCATTGCAGCAAAAGTTTGAAAGCTAGGTAACATTGCAGCATACTAATAAATAAATGGGATATTTATTTATATCATACTAATAAGTAAGTTTTCTTTTTGTGGTAGGATACGACGCGCGTGGAGCAAAAATAGAGACCTTCATTTACAGGAGAATCGGGACGCACGCAGGAGAATCGGGACAGACGTGAATATGAATTGGGACATACTAAGGAGCATTGAGACAACATTTCTACTTGGCTACATGTTCTATAATTAAATTGCAAATGGTAAAATGAGTGCAGTGCATTGCCATCTACTTGCGTCTCCTTTTTTCCGCCCTCGGTGACTCGGCTCCACTTTGGGTCCTGCCTTAAAAGATGGAGGACCAGGAAGTGTAAGGATACGGTTATGGAACATAGGCATAGGCATTGAACATGGCTCACTAGAGGATCCTTTGGGATACAACATTATCAATAAAAAAGTTATATTTTGACGGAATCACGAAAATATAAGACAGTTCAATACTGAACAATGTTTTCTTAAGGATCGTATGGGCGATCTGGGGTCTGTTTAATGTCACTTTGTCCTTGCTGCATTATCGGTTTAAGGAAGAAATTGGGATAAAAGGAGCTCACTTTCGGATATCCCCGAAACTCCTACGGTGAGACAAGCCGGACTGCGGGAGATGCTGGGCTGAGTGGGTCACCTTCCTGCACCTCAGCTGGAGCCCGTGACGGCCAAAGGAACTGCATCCGGTTTGTTGCTTGCAGATGGTCGCATTTTCAGCTGCAGGTCAACCGGATCAGTCAGCCTCCTTGACAGGGATGGAGGCGCCGGACTCTCGACACGGTCCTCTTCGTGTGTATCCGCTTCGTTTGTGTCATATTCGTGTGTGCCCGCTTCATGTGTGTTTGCATCGTGTGTGTCCGCTTCCGATGTGTCCGCTTCGTGTGTGTCGTCGTCAGCCACCCCGGGCGCTTCTGCGGGCGCTGAGGGAGCTGGTCTGTCGGTCACGTCTGCGGAAAGGAAGTCATTCTTGGTGAAGACTTTAGTATCCAGTGGCCAGATTTCCGTCGTTCGAAAGCCGGACAGGATGTCGGCTGGGTTGGCCGAACGGATCAGCACCTGCCTCATGAGCTTCTCCATGTTCAGAAGCTTGATGGACTTACCCGCGTTTTGGAGCATCCAGCTGTCTACCTGCTTTTGTTGAAGCCTGTCTTCATCGGACCGAAGACGGTGACATCGAGCAGTTGGAGCCTGTGACTCGTGTGAGGAGGTAGAGTCACGATATGGACTCCACTGTCCTTCGCCAAAGTCAACACGTTCAGGCTGACATGGCTGACGTGATTGTCGAGCACAAAGACGACTGGATTGTCCTTGCTTGCCCCCATGTGCTTCACAATGTGCTGCATCACCTTCTCAAAGTTTTCAGCCGTCATCCACCCGCTGCTGTGACACAGCTGCAGCGATCCTTCCGGATTGCCTTCCATCAGATTCTCCCGAATAGTCGTCCTTGGGAAGACGTAGGCAGGGGGAAGGTATGCCCCAGTGGCAGTCACAGCGACACACATCGTGACAAGTTCACCCCTCCCCGCAGAAGTGGCCTTCCCGACCTGTTTGTCTTTCTTTCCAGCAATGACTTTTCCAGTCTTCTGTACAGTCGCGAATCCAGTTTCATCTTAATTTAAAATCCTCGCACCTGAGACTCCCGTCTGCTTCAGGACCTCAGACAGGTTTCCGAAGAATTCATCGACATTGTGCCTGTTGAAAACTCCAGCTCACGCGATGGACGTAGCTTCAGGTTTCCGCAGCGCCAGCTGAGTGTTCCTTTTCATGAAGGCCTTCATCCACTCGCGCCCTGCTTCTTCATTTTCAGCCCAGGAGGCGGGAAAATGTTTGTCATTTTTAACTGCCATTTGTTAGCCAATTTCACGTGGTTGCTTGTGCGTTAAACCATGGAACATCTTCCAACACTGTATCACATATTCACTGCGGGCTTGCTCCTCGTCAGCAGTGAATATCTTCGAATGACTGTATTGGGCTCAAGACGAGCTGCAGGATCGACACTTTCCTTTGCGACATACCTTCCAAGGACGCTTTTGCTCACACTGTGGGGTTCTGCAGCTTTTCTCAGACTCACTCCCCCTTCTACAACATCTTTGACAGCCAGCAACATTGAATCATGAGATACGTCCGCGTACCCCTTTTCTTTTCACACGGCATGTGAAAATAAAATTTTCACATACACGTGGCATGGTTCTGAAAGAAGAAAAAAGGTGAGTAAGTTTCGGTAAGAACAGCTATATCAATTTATAGGTATGTGTAGCATTATGCACGAGTGACATTAATGGTTCCTGCAGGAGAATTGGGACATCTGCATG